GCCCCACCTGTCACCCCTCATAGGTAAAATGGACTCGCCCCACCTGTTACCCCTCAAAAGGAAAATGGACTCGCCCCACCTGTCACCCCTCAAATCAAACTATAATAGAAAATTCTTCTGGTGTGAGATTTATTTTTTTAATTTTCATTTCTTTATTTTTGGTCAATTTCAACACGTTTATTACAAAAATGTTGGAAATAAAAATGACTCCTACAATGTAAATTTAATTAATGTCAACAAAGTAAATTAATTACCTGAACTAAAACGTGGAAGGTTGCGAAAATTGCACAAATTCTTTAAAAATCCATAGTGACTTTAAAAACCCTTAATAAGTAATTACATCAATGCACAATGGGAAATTGGAGAGGGTAAATGAGTTTCAACGGAGAATTGGCTGCATGTAGCTTGTCCTGATTAGGGTATAATTTGAAAATAAAAATGCTGAAACTGTGTTTAGAAAGTCACAATAAAGGTCGTTCCATTTTCTCCATAATGCATGTGCGCTGCGTGTTCGTTCGAGCGCGGCAGTGCCTGCGTGTGTGCCTGTGTGAGGTTCCAAAATACGACTAGAGGGCTTTGGAAAATTCTAGCAATGAGACGCTTGTGCATTTTGCAGGATCGCCGCAAAGTTGGAAGCTCTGAAATATCAAGGCAATGTTTTATTTACGATTTTAAAATGATATTCCAATGCAATACAATTTAAATTAGAATAAGATAACTGAAAGAACATAAAAGTTTTAAACGACAAGGACATCTCTAAAGGTCTTGAGTTGACTGATTGGAGCTTCAGTACGATTACCTACATTGTAACATGAAAGGGCGAAAACTTAAGCAAGCCGTACATTTACTTATGCACTGTACGTGTACCACATCATCGAATTATGTAACTTCTTTCCACTCGCAATAGCAAGTACGATATTTTACTCACAAAACATATTTGCCTCAACCGTAGCTCCACCAAACGTGTACACAATGGGTCCGAGCTTCAACGTTGAAGAAAGTGTTCGGCACAGTGACTTCACCACATCTATCAATGTAGGTCATCTTCTTACAGGGTCTAGCTGTCAAGTGACCAGGCATAGCTCGCGTGTCTTATTGTTATGCAAATTACAACTGGTACAGTGTATGGCGCATTTTGATTGAGGAGTTGCTGTGGAAATCGGTCTCAAAGAACGGCCAATCTATAGAATAGTATTTTACTATTGTGACAAGTCAATAACCCGTGTCGCAAAGACCTATTTGTCACCCTACACGATATTTCTCAAGGACAACAGTTTATATAAAATCAAAAATTAAAAATAACAATGAAGATAGATATAACTAATCAAATATCAATGGAGTAAATGATGATGCTCATACGTTCGGGGAGGAGCATTGCAAGGGATGAAATATACTTGTACGGACCGCGGACTATCGATTGCAATTGCAGATATATATATATATATATATATATATATATATATATATATATATATTCACTAAAGATCGTAATTCTGTATATTACAAAGAGAAGGAAAATACCCTAGAGAAAGGGGGGGAGGAGCGCAATGAAACAAATTCATACTGTGTAGTTTGTTCTCTCCTCTATTTTCTGCATATAATATTTTGAGGCTGGAGATATTGCCCTTTTCACAACTTTTGCTGATAGATAGATAGATAGATAGATAGATAGATAGATAGATAGATAATTTATGTAATCTTAATTCTATAACAATTTTCTTTTCACAAAACCAGCAAGACAAGCAGTCAAAATAGAATTGGGAAGATGCCGTTAGTACGTTTACATATATTGCTAGAGTGAATTTGTTTTCCCTAAAAGCCGTGACTGATTTGAAATCAAAGTAAATTAAATTTTTTTTCAAGCCTGCTGTGATCGGACAGCCACACATCAGATAATGTGCAGTTTTCCCCTTTATAAATCACAAATATAATTTCCCGGCTTGTTAATTGCACTTACAATTTTCATAAGGGACCCGTGGCCAACAAACTCTTTACAACATGAGGTCTACTTCGTGAAATTTTACGTAAATGTTCATGTGAATAAAGGTATAAATCGGATGCTATTTGCTGTATTGTGGGTTAAGAGAGAGGATGATTAAACTAATGTTTGATAATACTACTTATTTATCATCTTTTCAAAGCTAAATTGATTGTATTGGTCCAAGACGACAGGGCCATTTGCTTTGTCTCTTTTTTTAAGTAAACGTAACAGACTGCAGATCTGACACATTCAAAGGGATCTTGTCCTCACAGCCTAGACAGTATGCTAAAAGTCGGATGATTTTCTTCGTAAATAATGATACTCGGGCTTTATAAATAGATTGGGCGTTTACTAACACTACCCACAGCCATATTAACAAAAGAAACACACACACACACACACACACATATTAACCGGCTCTCTCAGAGTAGGTGGATGTTAGTGCTAGGTATCACTTTGTTGGTGCTAAATAATTTTACGGTGTATTGGTTAATTCAATAATCTGATATGCCTTATTGACTTGTCTGCATACATGTAGGACCCGCGTTATTTCAAACTGTCAGTTAAGATGGCTTACAAACGGGACGTGGCAGCTGCAGATGATAATAATAATAATAATAATAATTATTATTATTATTATTATTTGCGATATTGATGTTATGTTTTAAACGTTGTAATTGTCCTTAGATGAACTCGACAAGAAATTACACTTGCATTTAGAATGTGTTTTAAATGTTAATATTAGCACTGTAACATAAATGTGATTTATTCTGAAATGTGAAGCTATATGAGGAGCTACGGGCAAATGGCTCCGGCAATATCAGTTTATTTTGTAATACGTTTATATGCACACATCATGAAAACAATGGAAACCGACAAATAATTTTACCATTGACGAACATAAGAAATGCCTGCAAAACTGCTAAACAAAATAATTTTTGTGAAATATTTCTTAGACCACGGTGGAAGTGAAGAACAAAAGACTCAGACGTGGTGTAACTCGCATAACCGCACGTCTCACGTGAATGTGTTATAACCCGCTGATGGACCCGTGGTCGTCATCGAGGGTTATGTGACATCCACACGTGCTACGCACTCGTGCTTGCCACATAACTCTCGCTAACTCGGGGTTTATCTATTACGTAACCCTTTTATATAGACAGCAGACTCACTGACATAACTGCCAATGACACAAAAATATACTGTCAAAAAGTTACCGGTACTTTTCATATCGCCATGCTGTACTTAAACACGTGCACACCCCTTGTTTGTAAACAAACCACTGCACTGCTCAAAGTAGGAAGCTCCCTCCGCCAGAGGTCCCACGCAGCACAGTACCTGAGCCTGATCCTGCAAAATATTGGCAGCAACTGACGCCCCAACCTGCTCCTTGACATCAAAATTAAACCTAGCAACACTAAAAAATATCAGGGAAAAAAACTGGAAAAATCACTAATTTTTTCACAGCACTACATTCGTCTATAACAATCAGTGATTGGCCAGGGTGATTTTGAGAGATTTTCGTAAGGGCGCGTTTCCACATTTTTTATGAATGTCAGGTGTGGTAAATTAATTTTCATCACTTTTTGGAAAAATTGGTGACGGGTCATTTTTGGGTGATTTTGAGAGATTTTCGTAAGGTCCGGATATGGCAGTTTTCTTCAATTTTGGCCAGGTAGGGATGAAAAATTTTTTTCTTCAATATTGTGTCAGGTAGGTGTGTTTGGTCATTTGTAGTGAGGGTAAAGTGCTGGAAGAGTGATTGTGTCATTATTTAGGAAGAAATAGAGCAAAAACTCTCTCCACCCCCCCTCTCTCCAAATCCTGTTCTCAGGTGTGCTTTCTGGCAATCTTTAAAGCTGAAATTGGGGGCTTTAATGAAGTGACCCGGGCGCGTTTCCACATTTTTTATGAATGTCAGGTGTGGTAAATTAATTTTCATCACTTTTTGGAAAAATTGGTGACGGGTCATTTTTGGGTGATTTTGAGAGATTTTCGTAAGGTCCGGATATGGCAGTTTTCTTCAATTTTGGCCATGTAGGGATGAAAAATTTTTTTCTTCAATATTGTGTCAGGTAGGTGTGTTTGGTCATTTGTAGTGAGGGTAAAGTACTGGAAGAGTGGTTGTATCATTATTAAGGAAGAAATAGTGCAAAAACTCTCTCCACCCCCCCCCTCTCTAAATCCTGTTCTCAGGTGTGCTTTCTGGCAATCTTTAAAGCTGAAATCATTTTCAACAAATAGGTCCATCCGAAGAAAATGGAAATGTGAAAAATGAAGTTAAAGATAGCGCCTATATTCGCAAATTCTACTTTTTCTAAAACTCTGGTGACAGAAAGTGATAGATCTAGCTTTTTGTGCAAAACATTGGAAATTTTAAGATTCACGCCTTGCTAGTATGGGGAAATTAAGTACTTAGATACGAAGGTTTTAACTATTTAGTAACGAAAGTTTTAGAAATAATTCTTTTGGATAATATTTGCACATTATTAATATTAACAAAAATTAGACTGCACGTATGGGGTATTAGTAGATTTACCTTTATTTTACTGACACATTTTGTCATCAACCTCGAGTATATTTTTTCACAATGCCTGGTAATGAAGAAGAGAATGCAATTTTGCCGTGTTTCGTGTAAAACATTGAACTAACGGGGGTATGTACTGTCGCCGTATTGTCTAGCTAATCATGGATGTAACTGAATTGAAGACTTTATAAATGGTTAAGATATTACAAAAACATCAAACAACTGCAAATGATTACCTGCACCAAAAGACGTAATGAAGGTTTTTTCAATTTTTAAAAACCGGTAACACCGCGAATGTAGACACAAGCTATTAATTGACTTATTTAATAGAAACATTCTGGGCATTTTCTGAGACGTTAGACATCATACTCGCTTAATGACAAATTGTATATTTTCAACATTAGTAATAATTAACAAGATCAATTGGAAAATGTGAGATGGTGATGCGAGCGACAGTAATGAAGGTTTAAAATTTTAGTCCGTTTGTTCTTTGTGAAACATAAATGTAGTGTTTTTTTTTATTATTTTTGCTAGACTGATGTTAGTTAAGTTCCACTTGTACAAACAATTCTTATGCTCACTTACTTTTAAAGCAATAAAAATGTTAAATTGACCTGTATATTAAGAATAAGTGACATTTAAAAGTTATCAAAATGAGACAAAGTTTGTAATTGGTTATTAATCAACCATGTTATTTCAGGGAATCTGAAACGGCATCAAAGTGAGAAAAGGTTATGGTAAGTATTCCTTGCTAATACCTATGTGGATTCCGATACATTGTATTTTAATGTCTCCTATTATTTCATAAAAATTGTTGCAACTAGTAGGTTTGTTCTAAACAGAATTTTTCTTTTTTTAAACACTATTCAACTTTTCTCCTCAATCATAATAATAACAAATGCAAATTGCTTACAAAAAGAAATAGTTTCTTTATTAATTACATATGTACATACTTTTGAACTGTTTTTCTTTTGACTTGTGATGCAGCTTGAATATACAGACTTATTCATTTATATATATGTTTGGGTGTTTCTTTTCAAATTGCTATACCACTGTTCAAATACAATGTTCACAACTGTCATTTTCACCTAGAGCATTGTCTTTAAAAAGTAATAACAATACATTTTCAATACTGAAAGAAAACCATAAAAATCATAATGGTGTTGTGGTAAATGTAACATCTTAAGTCTGTTAACTTTTGTAGAATTTTTCAGCAGTGCTGGCTTAGGGCTTTCTCCACTCAAATTTGGCCAAGTCATAGATCATATCACAGAAACCTATATAATTCACATCATCTTTGCCTCCCACTTTGACATCAAACTTCTCATATATAAGGTTGAATTCTTGATCGCTCACAAGACTACCGAGATCCAGCTCACTGAGAACCCTACGGAACTGTGACCTTGACACTGTGCCATTGTGAACTCTGTCATAGTCCTCGAACAGTGGGAACAGCTGCATTCTGTGTTTCCGTACCTAAGTAAATAAAACATTGGCAAGTTATAGCCTTACAATATTATGAGATTTTGACAAGTTCTGACATTTCAATATAGTTGTGGCAAAATATAATTTCAGGTCAATTATATGTATGTATATATATATATATATATATATATATATATATATATGCATATACCTTTTCAGCCAATCTGTCCATGCAGCGTTTGGCCATCTCCTCTGCTTCAGGTAGGAGCTGGTTTTGTTCCCACTCCACTGGAGGCTTGAACTGTTCAACATCAAGCATAGGAGCTTTCTCCAGTTCTTTGGTTGTAAAAACTGACTCCATTTCATCAGAGAATTTAAGGTATTCTACATACTCTGGCTGTTGGAAACTTTTGTATCTGAAGATTATAAAGACTGAATTATAATATTTATCAAATTCTGATTAAGTTTTATTTCCCAATATAAATAGATCAGCAGTGCATATTAAATAACTGTTAAAAATCAATTTGATGATTGAGTTTTATTGCAGAGTTTTATTGCACATTAATGTTTTTTACCATTGAATTATTATAATGAACATTATATACTGCAAGATAAAATGCAAGATTTTGACTCTAAATGTTTACCTTTAAAGATAAAAACCACTTACTTGTCTTCTAAGATGGCAACTTCTGATTCCTTTAGTTCGAATTTACACAAATCCAATGCCCTTCTGAAAGAGGTCTTCAGCATGCGACCTGTTCTTAGCTTGTCGTAATCACGCATGAATTCAAGCACACGAATACGCTCCCTAACAACCTAAAAAATTCATAAACACTAGTCAGTATGCTGATTAAACACCATAAATTAAAAAGCAATTATATTTCTTTTCAAAAAAAAAAAAAAAAAAAAATCTAAAAGAATAGTGATAAATATACAGAGTTGAAAAATTCTACTGATCGCTATACACAGTCTTTAAACAGTGAAAAATAATTGTTTGTTTTTTACTTAATGTTACTTTTGCAGTAAAAAAAATAAATGAATACCTTGGTTTTTAGTTTTGCAATCAAACTTTCAAAATCGGTACAAATGTTCAATTCGGGAAGTTTTTTCTTCTGATTGGTAGCTCTCATGTCTTGAAGACGTTCCAGGTACCGCAGCTGCTGCTTCTCTGGGGGTTGGAGCTCAGCAAGGAAAGCAATATAGTTGAAGCCAGTGTCATTGCAGAATTTGGCTTCAATGGCAGCCATCTCTGGGTCTGATGCATGTAGTTCCAACATGGTGAGGCACTGGCGGAACTGTCCCTGTGTTACATAACCATTGTTGTGTCTGTGAAATAAAGAGTAAAAACGATATTATGTAATTTTCAGTCATAGAGCGCATTCTCAACGAATTAAGCCAGGCTTTACAAAGCCGGTGACCTAAAAATGGCGGACGTACATGAAAGAAAAACCGCCTAATCTTTTAATAGTCTCTCCGCCTCCCCACACGTCGTCCCTGCGGGGTACAGTAATTAAATTTCGGCTCCGTTCGCCATGCGGAAGCTACCTGAGAAATATCAAGTGCGCATGCTCATCAGTTAAACTCGTGGTGAAGAAAGCATGGCGGCTGAAGGCGATCGAAGGAAAAAAGCTCTTCTGTTCTATTATCTTTGAAAATAGAGACGAAAAAGGAATAATTTGGCCCGTAGAGCAGCAATGAATCGACTATCTACGGAGATAATATCACCAGAGATATTCACGGAAATATTAATGTTCGGAGCCGAGATTTAATTACTGTACCCCGCAGGGACGACGTGTGGGGAGGCGTGTGAGAGGCGGAGAGACTATTAAAAGATTAGGCGGTTTTTCTTTCATGTACGTCCGCCATTTTTAGGTCACCGGCTTTGTAAAGCCTGGCTTAATTCGTTGAGAATGCGCTCATAGTAAGCATTTTTTTAGTTATCTACCAGATTCATCAAAAATTTTAACCTTAGCATCTAAACATTAAATCCACTTGCTTTTATAAAAATGATTCATTTTCAATGTCAGAATTAAGCTTTTAATAACACAGTAAATTGATTAGCACTTTTAATAGGTTTAAACTGTTCATTAATTAATCCTACCTGTCAAAGTCCTGGAAAACCGGTTTAGCCAGCACTCGTCTCTGGTTGGCCCTCTGTCTCAGCCTCTCCATGGCCTCCTCAAAGATAGCCTGGTGCTCCTCTGAGGCGTACCGCCAGTCCATGGTGCCAGGCTTGGGTACACGGAAGATCTCCTGGGCAGGCACGCGGTAGGTGGGCATCTTCTCAAGGTTGGGCTGAGTGAACACTGAAGTGGCCATTTAGAAGTAGGTAAAATATGTCTTTTAATGTCTTAATTGCTTATCTACACTGATAAATGTAACATTTCTAAATTATTTGCACACAACTTATGTAAACATGATTAAACACAAGTTATCATTTAAAAAAGTTAAGGGCTGTTAAATTAAATAAGGTTTGATTCTTTCAATCTTTGTGCCACTGGGAAAAAATTATGGTAGACAGACGATGTTCATCAATTTTTACTATTCACACAAAAGACTCACCACTTTCAAGGTCCCACAGGAACCTGACCCAGACCACTTGATCTGGTTTCTGTGTATTTTCATAGTACTTGCAGAGGACAGTGAACTGAGGGTCAGTCAGGTCATGATGGCCAATTTTGCTTAATCCAAGAAGTGCTAAGCCACGTCTAAACCTGCTTTTACTGATGCTGCCACTTCTGAGGGTATCATAGTCTTGGAAATATTCAGCAACCTAAAGGAAGTATAAGGTCAATGTGGTTGTTAAAATGACTGTGACTATAAAGGGATATTTCAAATTCCTGATCAAAATATTGCTCAAGTTAAGTGTACAAATGCTGCTGAGTAATTGAATTAATATCAAAATGTACCGTATTATTAAAACTGAAACATACCCTCAGCCTGTTTGTTAGAACGTGGTGCCTTATTCTGGCCAACAAATCTTCAATATTAACTTGACTGATGTCCATTGTCATCTCAGTAGGAGACTTTGACTTGCTTGATTTTCCCTCTTCCATGGGCTGCTCTGCATCATTCATTGTGAATCCAACAAATTCTACAAATAAATAATGAGTGGTATATCAGTTTAGGGCTTACCATGGACAAAACTTAATCACTTTGCATCATAAGAAAAAGCGAAGTACCTTGAAAAATTACTGCATACTATTTATCCCTTGTACATGTACATCATATGCAAGATACTCATTGAAAGTCCTCTTTTGCCATATACAGCTGTACATACTGTATTGAAGCTCTGTGCTCAAAAGAAAGAAAGAAAGAAAGAAAAAAAAAGAAAAAAGTAAATATATAAAAAATAAAATTAACGAATTAATGAAAAAATAATAATTAAATTTGTTAAAATAATAATAATAATCATAAAAAAAAACAAATAAATAGAATAATCATAATAAACAAAAAATAAATAGAAAATGAGTTTAAAAAACAGTCACTAAATTCTACCATCCGATACAAGAAGTATCTATACTGACCTCTGTCCACTGTCTGCACAAAGGCTGGGTAGTTGACGTCCCCCGTGGCAGGGTCTTCAAACTTTCTGCACAGAAGCTTGAAGTCTTCAGATGTCACATTCAGAGACAAGAAGTGAAGCAGACGGCCAAACTGGGTCTTTGTTATAACTCTGGTGTATCCACGGCCCTGTTTGTAAAATAAATGTACACGTCCACAATAAATTAAATCAGTGTACAAACAACACAAATTAAAATATGACTTTCATACTTTTTTCCCCATTTAGTTTTTAAGAATACTTCTGTTGTTGGTACTATTTACAAAACTTATTAACTTGAGTTTCAGAATCTATTAAAACAATAAAACTAATAATCTTAGAATCACTTACCCTGTCAAAATCCTTGAAATACTGATACATCATTAGTCTTCTCTTGGCCACTTGGTCTGCAATCTCATTGACCACTTTCACCACTCTCTCCTCTTCCTCAGGAGTCATGCCTTTTAAGGTCTGGGGGAAACAACAACAGCAATGTTTGTTACCATCATTCTCAAATAACCCTTACTTTTGTTCTTTTATGCCCCTTTATTACTGAGTACATAACATGATTATATTTTTGCTTCATTTACATATTTTGACAAAACAAATTGTGCTTTTACCAAGCTAGGGCTTGCTTAGTAGCATGCTACTTTTGTTTTGAAAGATGCTAAATCTGTCCTGCATATATTCTATTGGCAATGATGTACTAGTAGTATATGTAAGAGAAACTTGGGCTCATCCAAATATCTTCATTATTTTATGAGTAGTCATACTATTTCACTGCTCAACAGCATATTTATTTATAATTAAAGTTCTGTTGTACATTTTCATCAACCCATGTAGTTGTAAATGCTACAGCATGAATTTTTTATTTGATAAATGTATAAGCTCACCCTAGACAAGGCTCCTCTTGGGGGTCTGACAACACTTTCTGTTGGTTTCTTGTCCAGGTCAGGGATATTAAATGCTACAAAAGAAGGAAAATAATTAATTTTACTATATAACTACAGTATATCCTTGATATAAATCCACTTTCATTACAACAGTATATGTGTCTTTGTATACAAAGAATGAACACAATTAAAGACTCAAGAAGGAATTGCTAGTATAAAATATTAATTTCAAATTCTCACCATTTTCCATCATATCACAAAACTCTTTGTATCTCACTCTTCCATCTGGAGTTTTGTAGAATTCTGCAATTTTCTGTATCTCATTTCTCGACAACTGTGCTTCTTTTCCAATAGCCAGGGACAGTCCGCAGACAAATTGGTTTTCAGTAATGATGCCACTTCTTAGCTTGTCATGATCTCTGAAGAATTCTGGTGTCCTGACTCCATTTTTGAATACAGCAACTCTAATCTTATCAAAACTCTGCTGCAGTGTGGGGTCTGCTTCTGGCTGTAATAATATAATAAGAGACTATAAAATATGTGTAAATAATTATTTCATGATAAAATATAACAAAATGTACTAATGTACCTGGCACTGACTGATATTTTCTTCAAAACTAGCACAATTGGTCTTCATCAAGGTGCATGTGTAATTTTGTATTCTAATAGTAGTGGCTTTGCATATGAACTCTAGTTCATATATTCACTTAAAGTTTTTCATTTTCAAAAGTGAAATCTTACCTCAGGAACTAGATAATCAGTCACATTTGTAATGTCAGAGAGAGAAGTATCTGCCAGTGCCATCTTCTGCGCAATGGCCACCAGATCATGATGAAGGTTCAGGTAGACCACCAAGCCAGGGTTCCCCGGATCTCTATACTTCATCACCAGCAGGTACATGTCCTCTGAGTCAACATCAGCAGGGCCAGGAAAATTACGGTAGAACTGAAACAGATATTGAAATGTATATATAAATGCTATCCATTTGAGATTTAAAAATAATTTTTTCAGAAGTTTTTACTGTCTATTTATAAATTATTCTTTTTTTTTATGGAAATAAGTTGGCACATGATGTTTGCAGTGTTGTTATATTATTTTTCTTTTGAATTAGAACAAAACAAACAAAAAAAGGTACCAGTTTTTAGTCTCACCTGACTTTCTGTGACCTTTCCAATGTGGTGTCTGTCAAAATCTTCATAGCAAGTCCTGAGATTGATGCCATGGTATTTGTAAAACTGACCCATGTGTTTCAGCAATTCCTCAAGTCGACTTTCAGATTTTGGACTCAACGGGCGGACAGAACGTTGGGTTCCCAAACTTAACAAAAAATATACAAATATGCATGTATTAAAGCTATAACAACACCAAAAGTGATTCTCAATATAAAATTAATTTATAAGTAAATATTTTAATCATTATCAGGCAATGATTTTTATAAGGAACTCACAAACACTTAATTACTGTTAATAAGCAATAACAAATGTAGATTTTTTTATATGCAACCAAACATCTGTATAACTTACAATTCTTCTGGAATTACTTTTTGTGTTACTGGGTCCCTTCTTACATCATTTGGATCAAAGCCCTTTTCAATATTGTCACAGAACACCCTGTAATTAAGCCTGCCATTTCTGTTGATGTCATATTTTGCAGCCATCAGTTTTTCTTCCCCTGGGGTCATTTTGACACCCAAATTCAACCAAAGGGTCCGAAAAAATTGTGTTTCTGTTAAAAACAAAAATCAAATATATAAGTACTTCAGTATTTTACAAATGCATTTTAAATCACAGTCAATTTTTTTCACATTTGACATGCAGTCAACGCAGTGGTGACTTTTTTTAACAACAGTTAATCTTTTTATCTCACAGATATCTTAAAAAGCTTTCTGATTTAATATTTTCAGTAAATTGTATAAACATTCTTACCTGTTACATATCCAGACCTAAGTTTGTCAAAATCCAAGAAAAATTCTGAGATCCTGACCCTGTTTGTCTGCGCAATAGTGCGGATATTGTTTTCAATTTCTGCAACTGTAGCAGTTGCCATTTTTTCTGCTTTTTAAAAAATTTAGTCCAGTATGTGTGGCTTTTAATTCTGAAAATATAAATTTATAATATATGATTGAAGCATGAAATATACCATATTCAATCCATGCACATGTTACATTATACAGTATATTAAAAGTTATATATGAGATTTTAAAGTGTGCCATTAACAAACTTTTAACAGTGTTGTAGTACTCAGAAAAAAAACTATAAACATACATTCTTATATATTTTTCTCACACACACAAGCAGCAGTGCACAAGTTGTATACAACATATGCACTCAGCATTTTCATTTTGCACAAAATTCAATGTTGAAGATTAAAGAGTGCATGTAACCATAAGACTTATTTGAAATATAAATGCCAGTAACAGTATCATTATTATTCATACTGATGTAACCCAAAATTAAATAGAAAAAAATTAATTTCAAGTTTTTCCTAAATTTTGTCAAAACAATATTTCACTAAATTAAAGTGTAATTTTGATTACTACTGCTTATCAATTACATGTTATAAATTTTATTCAGATTTATACACATAATATAATAAGGCTGGATGTAGGCCTTGCATACACCTTAACGTTAGACCAAAGTGAGAACTATTTAAGTCACTTTCAAGTTTCATTAAAGGCCAGCTCATATATTACTTGCCTTTTAAAAGGCAAGCTAATACTGGGTTCATGTATATTACTTCATATTTACCCATTTTACATAAATTTTGATATTTAGTTCAGCTTATGAACGTAAAATGCACATAATTTTCTTATAAAGGTCCATATGACAATCATTATTTTATAAATATTCTGAAACATGTATATAAAGTAGCTCTTACCTGCAAGTCCTGTATGCTACAGTCCATCAATGAAAACACGATTGTAGTTGATGTTGCACGTTGCCAAGAGACACAACATACAAGTGGTGCCCTCTAATCTATATCCGTTTAATTAAATCTCTTCACAGAAAAGCGAGAGTACCATTATTGACATATGTGAATATTTTGAGTATAAATTTTTGATACATATTAAAAATGTGAAGAAATCATATATATCATAAAGCAAAGCAACTGTATGAAAAATTTGAAAACCGAAGATAACGATCACGTGACCACCGCGTGCTCCCGCTTTTGAAGAAGAAAGAAACAATGGCGGACACAGAACTTGCTGAGCAGAACGGAGCACAGTATGAAGAGGCTCAGGAGTACTATGGCGGCGAGGAAAACAATGAGGAACAAACTCCACAAGAAACTCCTGCTGTTGAAAAACCTCAAGGAACAGAATATACCCATAAAGCTGATGATGACGATAGGTAAAAATTCCGGCCGGGGCCAACCACTTGGTCCCACGCATTCACTGACTGGAGATACGTGTGTAGTAATATTTCAAATAAGCTTTTGTGGAAACGAGTGCAACCTAACCCTTAAAACTCATAGCACCTTAAGGCAGATGTGCCATTATACATTTTAGCATAAGGAAATTTAGCAATTTATCATGCAGACATGAAAAATCTACTTGACCCAATTTAGAATAACGACGTAAATCTTTGTTAGGTTTTGTAATTTTGCAGTATCATTCTCAACCTGTATTGGTCTTTGAATCCCCCCCATCCCACCCCCACCCAAATATGATGTGTGGAGACTTTTCTCATTGTCTTCATATTCAAATGAATTTGTTCTACATTTTATTATTTGATTTTTGGATGTTTTTTTCAAGAAAATTAGGCCCATTCAAATACAATGAGAGTACAAATACAATCAAATACAATTCAAATACAATGGTACTGCAAAAGTACCAAGATCACAATGATTGGTAAGATGCCCAACTTAAGCATTTGAACAGATCAAGAAATACTTAACAATTTTCCTTTTTTTCAGAAAATTATTTGTGGGCGGTCTCAGTTGGGAAACAACAGCTAGTAAGTTATGATTTTCTTTTGAAAATATTAAAAGATGTGTATGAAGTGAAATTAAATGATCTCTAACATATGTAAACTAATGGTAACAATATCTTAAACATTTTTTTAGTTTTTATAAAACACCGACTTGTGTTACCTTTACTTTTTTCCATTGTTTAGAAGAACTACGAGACTATTTTGGAAAATTTGGAGAAGTTGACGACTGCACATTGAAGACGGATCCTAATTCAGGCAGATCAAGGGGATTTGCTTTCGTTGTTTTCAAGGATAGTTCCTGTATTGATTGTGTAAGTAATTTGACTTGATATTCAGATTATCATTATTTAATCTCCTACAGAATGCAAATAATAATTACTGGCTATAAGGATTTTCAAGGTAAAATTTGATTGAAAACTAAGAAAGAGAAGCCATAAAGTATAATTTAAATCTGTAATATACTGTAGAAATTAAACTTTTGAAACATTGCTGTTATCATCACATTGCAGGTATTAAATTGCAAGGAAGGCCATGTTCTACAAGGTAAAACCATAGATCCAAAGAAAGCTAAGGCTAGGGGTGGCAGGGATCCTATCAAGAAGATATTTGTTGGTGGAATACAACCAGATTTCTCAGAAGAAGATATAAGGGCATACTTTTCAGAGTTTGGAAAGGTACCTAAGAAAAAATATATAAGTATTGGTTTCCATAGCATTTTAAGGTAAACAGTTACTAGAGGTTAATGTGCACTATGGATCTTGTATTTATCAAGATTTAAATCAAAACATAGATATATGTGAGTTAGTTCTTGGTTCTTCACTCCAGAATTCTGAAAGTATACATAGAATTCACATTATTGCTAGTTAACAAAGTTTTCAATCTAATATTTCCACAGATTAGATGTCACAGAAATTGTAATATAATTTTTTACAGATTGAGGAAATTGATCTTCCATTTGACCGTATGAAGGGCCAGAGGAAAAATTTTTGCTTCATTACATTTGAGAGTGCTGAGGTTGTTGATAAAATCGTAGAAAATCCCAGACAGACCATTGGCGGAAAAGAGGTAAAATATACAATTTTGTTACACTATATCTTACATTTGTAATGACATGATATTTGTAAATATTTTCTCTGTTACAGGTAAAGCATAAGTTTTGTCTGATGGTTCAAGCAGTAGAACAACTTCATCTTTGCCTCAAATATTTTTTTTAATGAGGGATTTTTTGTTGATGTTCAAGGAGTTTGTGAACTATTTGAATGGGGTGGTTGGTATTATAAGCCATACACAGATAAACACCAAAATACTGACCCAACATTCTGTTCCAATTTTTACAGCTGCAGTCTCCATGAAATATGGGACTCATTTTTCAAGGAACCACAGTGAGGTAGTGAGCATGTAATCAACAGTGGTGTACCGTGGGCTCCTTAACGGGGTATCTTCTATGTAGGAGTCCACTGTAATCATAATTTCTTATTACCAGTTGTCTAGGTTCCCTGCTAATTCCTGTCATTGCATAAAGCACAGTTTGCATTGGTCAGCAAGTGGTTGATGTCAGATAAGTAAAGCCGTGTTTACAGGTAAACATTATGAGGGCTGGATGCCTATATAGTTCAAAATTTTTTCTTGGACTAATATTGTGAGATGGTGTTTTACTTGTAGGTTGATGTGAGAAAGGCCACACCCAAGCAGAATGAAGGTTGGGGTTATGGAGGCAGAGGAGGATTTGGAGGCAGGGGAAGAGGACGTGGTGGAGGCGGTAAGGAATCGATTATGTTATCTTTCTGGAATAAGTATTTAACACTTAAATGTATAATTCAGCATTCAGCTAACACAAACCCAATATTTAGGACAAATTAATTTAAAAAACATTTAATGCAAGTTCTGGTGAAGGACAGTGTCTAATGAAGATGTCATGATAAAGTGGAAGTAAAAATCAATAACCCAGAAAGTTGTTAATAGGTGGTGAGCTAGTGATGCTGTTGAGGCATATTGTTATATACATGTTTTTTCCTCCAGGTTATGATGGTGGCTGGGGCAACCAGGGCTGGGGTGGGTACAACCAGGGCTATAACCAGGGCTATGGTGGATACGGTGGATATGGCGGATATGGTGGCTATGACTACAACCAAGGCTATGGATATGGAGGCTGGAGTGGATATGACCAGAGTGGTTATGGAGGCTACGGCGGTTATGGAGGCTATGGTGGAGACAACAGTGGTAAGTTGAGCATTACAGGGGAAGCTTGATGCTATTAATGCAAACAATGGTCTCGAGCTGGCTGGTTCAAACTGCATAAAGAGAAACGTCAACAAGTTGGTATTTTTTTGTAATGCCCACTATTGAATTTTGATTTAAGGAAAGTGCCTGACTTGCCTTGCTCATACACCACCTTTTAAAGGACCCCAGCAAAAGCAGTCACTCCTTGTCGTAAGAATTGTGAAAGTCCAGCATTTTTGACTACAGTCGTCTTGTAACACTTACGTCTCCTTTCAGGTTATGACTACAGTGGATGGGGCTATGGAGATCAGAGTAAGTAGAAAGACCATTTTAATGTGTCTGATTTCTGCTTTTCCTGTACTAATAAAGGGCTTAAATTCCAGACTTCATGTTCCTGCAGACTTTGCATATGTTTGTTTCTTTGATTAGCGAAGAATGGCACTTATGTTTGCTAAATAAAGGAATAGAGGTTAGCTTTATGGAAAGAAAATATAGCCTTTCCTCTCAAATGTTCTGTATACTTATGCAACTACTATAACTTCAGGTCAGCAGAGTAATTATGGTGCCCAGAAGAGCACAGGTTCCTCTGCTCAGGGTGGTGGTAACAAGGGCTACCATCCTTATAACAGGCAGTGAGAGAGAGGTAAGGAGAATGTTTATGATCAATTTACATTCTAAGCCAGCTCATGTAAGGCTTGGCCTCTTTTTGTTGTTGTTGTAGAGATTGTCGTAATGGGGTGTGAATGTGATCTTTTTCGGGTACAACATTTAAAATCTTTTGTATCATTTTAAGCTTCTGTTAGAATGACCCATTTAAATGTTTGCATTACGTAATGCATTTTCACTGTCTTCATGTTCCCTTCGTTTCAGAATGAAGATATGTAGGTGACAAAAGGTTGGATGGGATGCAGTAAAAGTGAACAGTGGTTTCAGTTCTATGTGTTTCAGCAGCCTGTAGTCGATGACTTTATTTCCATTTGATGTGAACATTTTTGTCTAAACTTGGTTTCATTTTGACAAAATACATTTGACATACCAACAAAAGGACAAAGAAATGATCAGAAGGATCTGCATTCAAGTCATTCTGTATCCAAGCATTTCAATTTTAAAATATTTTTTTAAAGATTTTCTTCATACTTTGCACAAATTTCTAGCAGAGATCAGTCAAATCGATTTCAATAACTAGTGTTAGAACACTGTCATCTAAAGTTAGTGTAAATTAAGTATATGTAAGTCCTTTCCAATGTTTGTAAAAGATCCCTTATTTTAGCAATTGATTTTATAAAAAAAAAATAAACACTTGTAAATGCTGTATAAACTGGTCTATGTTTTTTAACAAATTTCATACACTTGCTGAGAAGAGACGGCACGACGTAGTAACGATATAGAGATGTATGCTTTAAAATTGACTTCATTATTCACATTGTCAATGAGAAACTTGTGAACACTGGTGTTTGTATGGCACTTCTAAGCCATACAAGACAAGAGGACAGGAGAATGTTCTCTTGAAACTTGGTTTTTAAAAAATGCGTTCGTTAGAGGTCACGATATTCTGGAACTCGATGCAATCGGATGCAAGACTGAAAATTGGAATAAAACTTCATTTCTCTTCATTTCAAGCAAATCTATCCTTCTGTATCACTAATTTAATCTGTATCTACTGACGCAACAATCCGAGTGATTCTTTGTTTAAATATCATCAGTATGAAAAAGATTGCCAATTTATGCAAAAAAAGTTAAGGGGGCAACCACGGCTCTACGTGCACATCAGCCCTTTTGAAAGAATGTGGTAGTTGCGACAAGTTGAAGTAGGTGAGACAGGTCTTCTTTATTTGAAGGTTGAAAACTGTAGTTGCTGTCTGCCAATGGCTGGGAACAGGGTGCAAATTTGTGTTAGATGTTTTCGGAAATCGTTCGTTTACGACAAGCTTTTTTTACGAGCAATAATTTCACATACTTCAGGCTTGAAAGGGCGACAATTTCACAATGATGGGTAAAGTTCCTCTTCTTTTGTAAATGAGAAAAATGTTCATTAGTTGGATCATAAATGTTCCTATTTTTAATTTTCCTTGTTTAACTTGCCAAACATATCCTCTTACTAATGCTAGTACCTTTATTGTAATATATTCTCTCTACCTGAATTGTGATTTGGTTTTTCATAATTTTTCTAAATTTAGTTATGTGGTGCCTTTGAGCATATCTCAGCTATTCATATAAACTAGTTTGGCAATCCATTTACTTATATTTGTTTATTTTTACAATGAACTTGATGTCGATTGGAATGTAATCATGACAGTCAATACCAATGCAGAAAAGAAATTTTGCTGTAATCTCATTGATCAATGAGCTTGAAAGTTTAACGGAAAAAGATGAAAATGTAAGAAGTAAATATCCAAACATATATTTAAATAGCAGAGGCATTGAGCAAAATTAACACTTAACCTTAATTTTATTACCATTAAAATTACCACTAAGGTGGGTTGAAGTGATAGAGGACACTGCAAAAGTTCCAAAAATTCACCTTTTAAGATTAACCTCAGCTTCAACTTTCGTGGTGTCATTGATTCAACAAATGTGATGGTGAATTGAAAACAAGATATTAAAGATAACATAACTTCAGCTGAGCAATAAATTAGAAGTAGAACATCTTGGGAACTTATTTGTCTTCCAGTAAACTTAAGAGGTAATTTAAAAGTTAAAATATACAATTTTCTTTGATTGCCTTTCAGAAAAGAAAATAAAGAGAATGATTTCAAAAAGAAGAAAGACATTGTTAAAAAACCTGGTATCATACGCAAGTCTATAGCTAAGAACTACCTGAAATTGATTTCAAATTTGGAGAAGAAGTATCCAAAATTATATCAAGTATATGCTGTATCCAAGAAAGGTAAACACAAAAAACATGTTAGAAGCTCGTTCACTGTTCATCCAGACTAGAAAATTTTATTTAAAATGCATAAATTTTAACTTTTGAGAATTGGTGTCATTTTTCCAGGATTAAGGACACTCCTTCTTTTTAATCGAATTTTTCTTGATTTCTCCCTCTGGATATATATTTATATGTGTTTTATGTCATTTAAAAGAATTACCTTTGAACTATGAAGTGAAACAATTAAATGGATTGGTGTATTTTGTAGACAAAAATAATGATGCATGATACAAGTAAAAATTTGTATGGTATATGAGCAGTTCTATGAGCACTGATTCTATGATTACTGTCACGCACCCAAATTTATACTCAAAAAGACAATTAATGCATTTTGAATATGCGATACAACATTTTCCATGTGATAGTTGGATTCCTCCCCAAAAGAATATGAAAGCCAAGTCATATACAGCAATAGGATACTTGTGTTTTAGAGCATGATTTGTAATACATGAGTAGGTCACTTTGACCTGCATGCCAACAGATGTGTTTGAGTCACAGCAAATCTTAGGCTGGACACATCTTTGGAATGCCGTAACCCTGAAACTCATTGAGATATCAGTGTAAAATTTCTTTTTTAAGTCTTTTTAACATCTACATAATATGTGAAAATCAGTAAATGTGTTCATGGGTATAGTGTTCATGGAGTGTACTCATGAACATTAATCTGATTCCTTTTAGTGAGAGTCCCTGTGGTATTACCAGTAGTGCGCATTAGCAAGTACAATGGATTCATTGTGAACACACCCTTACCTTTTACTTTTACTTTATTTTTGTGTTGAAGGAATAGAGAGTTTACTGGCAGACATGAAGGTGTATAGCGGTGCCGTCTATGAGCTATATAACATGAGAAAGGGTATGGTAGATTATAGTTCATTAAACAGGGAACAACTGATGGCCTACAGACAGGTGGGATTATGAATGCATTTTGCTCAACTCTTTTGATAATTTTCTTCTGCTGAACAGGAATTTAAATACAATTAAATATCATTAAAGAGTATTTGAAATAGGTGATCATTTAATATCAATTTAATATACATTTGGTGAAAGATTTGGCTAAATCAAACATCCAGCGTCACCCAATCTTCTGTTATGCTAATGTAGATCCTTTGCAGTATAAGATATATTGACGATAGGTATATAAAAATATGCCTCTTGAAAACAAATCTTGTAAACTAACCTGACATGGACTTACATGTTACAGAACTTGCTTCATTATTTACCTCCCAACGAAGACGATGGCCCCTCTCACATGAATTATTAAAGGGATAATAACTCTTCGTATGAGATCTATATTTCACAATAAAAACATTGTGAACAACTCATAGAAATATAATATATTCTGTCATACAACTTCAAGAAAAACGGCAGTTATAGCTATTATTCTGATAACTTAGCTTGTCTTCAGACCACGTGACCTCCATTGATGGCAATACTCTGTTATAATCTCTTAAGAGATTTTAACAAAAAAACAAACTTTTTAGAAAAAAAAACAGGGGCTAACTTTGAATGTAAAAATGGATTCATTAACCATTGGTAAGTATGGGAAAATTGTTGTTTACTCCAGGAAAATTCAGTTTTTGGTCAAAACGAAGAGTTATTATCCCTTTAAGTTTGAAAATTTTCAAATTTTCATAAGACTTTGAATGTTGAAATTTGCATCTTAAAAACTATTAGGGATTACAATCTTCTTGCCACTCAGAAATATTAAAAAATACATATATGTAAAAAAGATGAAGTGTAATTAAACTTGGCTGGGCTGAAATGAAAAGGTAGCCAGCATGGCTTTCACAACTCACACTTACGGAATGTGCACCAGGGAGAACATGTAGGCCATGCTGTAAGATGGTGGCTGAAGTTTAAAGATAGGGTAAAGAGATATATGACATCTCACAATACTCTGTAAACATGGTGATGCAGTTTGAATAAGTGTATATTTCATTTATAAAGACATTTAACCTGATGTTGGATGAATACACACCACGGGAATCACATAATAATTATACATTTAATACATAAATTATTGAAAACTTAATCAGATTTTTTTTTTATTTACACACTAGGTACCGAAAGACTTAAGGAAAGTAGGATTTGTACTCCTTGTGAGCACTGTGCCATTTGTAGGAAATTTAGTTTTCTTTGTTGCGTGAGTTTTATTGAAATGAATTATAAATGAGAGAAAAAATTGATGATTCACTGAAACTGTAATAACTGTTATAAAGCAATTTTGAAAATCTAGTCTTGCTGGTAATAAGTGACTTCTGTTATGTTCCTATCTATAATATTTGTCTGTTGGAATTTCATCGAAAATCCTACTTTGAAATAAATCTTGTTTAATACCTGTCAAAGTTTTAGATTAAATAAATATCATGGAGATAAATGCATATTTTACAGTGAAATATTTGATTTTTTCTCTTTTTTGTTAGGTACAAATACCCCAATCATTTGCTGAGTAGACAATTTTGGACTGCTGAGCAACAACAGGAGTTTGATATTTCTAAACATAAACACAAGGTGGACCACTTCCCTAAGTTATTGGCTAAGCTTAAGACACTGGCCTCTAAATTAAAGGATGAAAGAGAAAGAAAAAAACTGCTAGATATTCTCAACAAGGCATGAAATAAATTTTGTCACTTATAAGCAATTTTCAACAATTTCAGCTATTAATGACAATAAAAAGGATTTTAAAATTACTATTGATATTGTAAATGGCCAAACAAAATTGAAAAAGTAGCTCAGTGTTTGTAAACAATAACTGAAAGTGAGGATTGTAATGTTTTTGAAAAGCAAGTTGGTTAAATGAATTAAATTATATTAAATTTTACAATTACTGAAACTGTGAGTGTTTTAATTTTGCAAAAAATATGCAATGCCTATTCTCAAAACATCCCAAATAACTTTGACATTGTAGATACCTGAGAGCTCAGTGTCTGTAGAAGAATTGTTGACAGTGAAGCATCTATTTGAACACGAACCACTGAGCCTGTGGTCCTTAAACATGGCACACTTGGTAAGCTTTGACATAAGTCCTATCTTTTTAAAAAATTATGTTTGTTCTGGGGGTTTCGATACATTTTTCAAGTATTAAAAAGTGGTATGTAATAATAAATGTTTCAACAAACCCAGAGACTTGTGTAAAGAAATGTATTAAAGTAGTTGTGGTGTATGTTTCCCATGTGAAACAATTTTTATTTCAAAATGACTGTTGGGTAATGAGAGTTGAAGGTACTTTATCTTGGTGGATAATAATGGTTCGTTTAAGTATCAGCTTGTTCCAGTTCTTGTGTTCATACATTCACAATTTCATATTTAATAGATGTGTCACGAACACAGATTAAAGTGTACATTGATATGGTAAACAAAATGCATTAGAAGTGGTTTTTGATCTTTTATTTTCAGTATCATGTGGCATATGCCATGGATATGCCAAAAATGAAGGCTAAGCTTATCCAAGATGCTATGCTGCTTCATAACATTGATCAAGTAATACACAAAGAAGGCATACATATGCTAAGCAATGCAGAACTGCAGCAGGTGATTGCACCAATAGTTCTATAAATTCAGGCCTTTTCACATCTGCATTGCAGGGTTTTGACTGGTCCGAACATGTAATTATTAATTATGTGAAGGTTGATTGCTGTTGTTGAGTGTGTTGGGCTGTACTTAGATTACTCTTTTAAATGACAGCCAGGCTATCAGCTTTAAATCTCTCAAAACATTGTGATACATAGTTAAAGGCCCAATAGACCTTGTGCACCTCTATCACTCTCTTGCAAAAATATCATTTTAGATTCCTTGCGTACATGTAAGTTTTAGACCTCATTACTCTTATTACACTTCAACTGTCAATAATCATGTCTTCTATATTTCTTATAACCATTATATCAGATGCATTTTTAATCTGTTTTCTGATATAAAGTGTCCAGCCTAAGATTTTTCTGTAAAAATCTCATACTTAATGAATTTTCCTGGGGTGAAAGGTATTTAGGTCTTTGATCCTCTTTTCTGGACTCTTGCCATAATTCTGTGAAAATCTAGTAAATTAAAAAGACTCATACATGAGCATTGGTTTTTAAAACTGTGTCAGGGTAGCAGACAGCTGGCTGGGAGCTTCAGGAGGTGATAAATTTGATGATTTTTTGGCAACATTAATTTGTGACATTTATCTGTTAATTAATGATAAGGGATATTACTTGCCCACCTAAGTTCAACAAGGAGTGGTTTATGGACTAAGTAAAAAAATGTGTTTAAAATCTTATGCTTTGTCCTAAGAAGTCTTATTGACAAGGCTGATGGTCTTACGCTGCTAGGGTGTACTTTTATTTGGATGATGAGAAATTTGTGGTTTAAAATCTTGGATAAGTGTGCTAGAACAAGAATAGTTAATCAGATTTAATATAGAGCAATAATAAGATTTAGATTTCACGTTAACACTAACAGATATACCTAAATCTGTATACATATTTTTAAAAATCTCATTTTATTTTATTTTTTTAATTTGGAGATAATCTAAATAGCTGTATGGTCATTTCAGGCATGTTTTGACCGAGGAGTTAATTCCTACAGTCTAACCAAAGATGAGCAAGTACAGTATATGAAGTCATGGTTACAGCTCAGTCAAGCTTGCACAGGTGTGTGACAGCAGCAGTGTAGCTTAAACCCACCTAGACTAAAACCCACCCAGACAAAAACTTAAAAAAGTAACAATTTTTTTTTTACGTCTACCACTAAATTTCTAGTATCACACCAGTCTGAAAATGTGACAAGTGAATAGCCTGGCTTGACATTGCCATTTAATCAGATCAAATTTGATTGGCACTTGGGGCTTACTTAAACCCCCTTTACACTGGATAGTGTCCTTTCTGCGTCCTTTCGGTGACCGTGAAACTGGCATCGTTGTGGTCGTAGAAAGGAGGCACAAACATTGCTTTGGTTGCAGAATGAATGCTCAATGATCAGCCAGTTATTGGCATGTAAAGTGTAATTTTTTTGGCACTCAAACTGAAACAGGGCAGTACTACGGGACGCAGAAAGGAGGACGTCCAGTTTAAAGGGGGCTTTTGGTGTGATGGCAGTATTAGTAGGGATTCTGGGGAGCAATTGCAATAATTGTTATAAAGCCAAAATTTTAGGATTTATACTGATACAAAGAAGTGAAGTTCATTTCAGTTTTTCATTGTATGCATTTTCTTTTATTAACCTCCAGGTCCTAGCTTGTCACTGATACTTCACGGACCAGTCTTTTTGGCTTGGAACCTACCCAGGTCAACAAAGGACCCACAAACAACATAGGTACAGGAAAGAATGTATACCTGGCAAAGAGTATCTTTGGAAATCTGCTACAGTCAAACCTTGCATCACAAACCTTTACATACTAGTCATAATTGCATTCCTTTTGGTGAACAGAATTCCAAGTTTATTTTCTGAGCGCAGCACTTTGTGTCATCCTTATGGGAAGTTGTGGTAGTCAATTAGTTTAATAATGGTGGATGTCATTGTTTCATAACACTTGTTTGGCAAAATTGTCAAAAGGCAACTATCTGGAGAAAGATACAAACAGGACCAGTTTTTAAAATGTAGAATCTGAGGGAAATTGCTGTCAATTGCACAAGATGTTCTTTTTACTAAAGGTCATTCTCTTTCCATGATCATTCAATTACACAAAACCCTAGTATTATTGCGACAGAGACATTTATTTTGCAGCATTTCATACTGGCCTTGGAGCACAGCATTAAAAATACCATAATTCTTTTCATTCATGTTACACAGTCCCATTCTGTAGTCACAGTTTTAATTCAGTGGTCACGATTAAGTTTGCAATTTGAAGATGCAGAGATCAGTAAAGAAATAAAGATTGAAGACAACTGGGTCATCCAGTTTGCATTTTTGTCTTTATTGAAAGCAAATGATTTATCAGCTATTTTATGGGCCAGTTTCAATACAGGCATTATTTAATGTTGTGTGAAAGAAAAAAGTAGGAAAAATGTTTTGGTTGCTTTAAGCCTGGGGATCAGGACCCCTTAAGGTGAGAAAAATCCCAAAAAGATTGAAATTGGAAAAAAGATAGACCAAGTCAACAAAGCAGTTCATGCAGGTACATTTATTGCACAAAAATGTACACTGACAACATAGATTTCCAATATATTATGGCATCTTTAGTCTTCTAGAAAGGGAGAACTTTGGTATTAAGATTTCTACCTCCTGAAGGCAAGAACAGTTGTAAACATGAATCCTAGGCCAGAACTTTGTTCATAATATATCAATAAACTTTAGGTGTAAAAATTCCCCATAAAATACCATAATACACTGAATACCATTAATAGCATTACTTTTACAATAAGTTACATAATAAAGATCTATCTCCCCATATATACTTCAGTAATGTGATTTCAAAAATACATTTCTTTTTTATAAAACCTTCAGTGCTACTTTGAAGGAAACACCAGAGCACCAGAAATTGAAGTTCTACCTGTAACAATGTGCACCTTGCAAAATGTAAGAATATGTCAATAAATACTGAAGCATCCATTTAATAGACTAGCATAGAATATAAAGTTTACTTTTAAAATCCAAGTAAACAAATTCAGTGCAAATATTAATTTATCAATCCATGCTTAAAGCAATATAACAAGAAGTTTAGATACACTATTTGAACATTATTACCTGTTAATTTTTTCCATACTTATTGCAGCAAGAAAAAAATAAGTGACTAATCAACTAAAACCAAATGTTTATGACATCAGCAACACTTTTATAATAATGATAAAAATAACATAATTACAACATGGATGTACCAATTACCTTACAGCATAACCAGAAAGTCTTCTTTAATAATGATGGAATCGGGACACAAATACCAACAAAATGTTCCTAAGGTGACTTCACAATGCCATTTTTTATATCATAATATTCTTATTGCACCAGCTGACTAACTGCCAAGGCTGCCATGCCTTTTAACAGACAAAAATACTCTCCTAACACCAGTTTAAAAACTGTCATCCAGTTGCCTAATACTAGATAAAATAATAACTTATCATAAATATACAAAGCAAGGGGAACAAAAATGAGCACCAATATGGCAAGCGAATATGTTCTTCACATAAAGATGACATTTGTATTCATTTCTTTTACATTCACATTATTGATGTACAGCAATTACAACACCTTGCCAGCTTATTGCTTGTGAATCAATGCTTTTCAGAATAATCGAACACTGAATACTGCGATGACATTCTAAAAGCTTCACACTGGCATACACTTAGTGTAGTGTAGGAATAATATTATTTCAACACATCAGAAGACACTTATACATCCACAAAATCCAAGGAATACATTTGATACAATGTAACCAGTCTGAGATCTTTACCTTTCACCTAAAACTTGCACACCTAAGACTTGTGACTAACACCATTAATGACAAATTAAGATGGTCTTTTTAACTTATGTCAAACAAGCACCATCAGACAAAATTTTCAGATCCCAATCTATCCCCCCTTTTTTTTTTAATAAATTAACCCCATTAGATTAAACTCTTATCTACCATCCCCCCATTTTACAAACAGTTACCGTATTATTTCTATCGATGACAAGTAGAGCCATTAGCCAACTGTTATCATCTTAAAGGACCCGTCTTTCCATTGGGTAATAAATTGGACAGAAACAGATCACCCTATGATGTATTCCTGATGGACGAGCTGCCCTTTGAGGCAGACTATAATAATGGGAGGAAAATGTAAAGCAATACTTGTACATCTCATTGGCAAGAATTGATTTTTTTCCCACTCTACAGTGGTATGGAACTACCCCTCGTTTATCTTGCAGATAGAATTTTTATGAAATTGATTATTGATTTTATGCTCAGACCTAACAGAGCCTCAGCATGAGAAAAATTGATAGCATAAAGAACACTACCATTAAGAAATTATCTTCATCCTTAATGAGAAAAATTCCCTTTGCTGCAAAAATGAATTTGGGGTACAGGTGGAGAATAAAAGGTACCTTGTATTTTCTTATTTTTGAAAGTCTGAACAAAAAAAAAAAAATCACAAATTGGAAATGAGGAACCTTGCAAAAAATGAGAATGCTGGCTGTATATCAGATGTCCTGTGTTGTTACCAATAAAAAATTTCAATAAAATAAATAGTTGCCAACAATGTTCCAGAAATGTTACATAAAGGCATATAATGTTCTTAAATCTGTATTATGTAAGGAATCCACATAATATTCGCTGGTGCCGTAAAAGCTGTGCTAAAATACAGCTCTTTTTGGTCTTCAGAATGATTCACTTAGGCAGATACAGTTTCTACGATAGATTCTTTTATAATCTCTCCAAAGGTTTGCCCAGTATCTCTTTGGTCCTGATTTAAGTTGTGATTTGTTCCCTCCATATGAGTACTCTCCAGTGATGGGTGACGGCAGTTGTTATGAGTGGAGCTTCCACTGGCGGAGCTGGAGGTGGGGAGGGGTGGGTCAAAGGTAGAATCCGTCTCAGGGCCTTCAATTTTGATAGCCTGGTTACTAGTAAAATGGGAACTAAAAGGATTTGTGTCAATGGAATCAAGAAAGCCGTTAGTTTGGACAGAAAACTCGGAGGTGACACTAGAAATGCATGCCATGGCACTCCCTGCATTCCCATAGTCGCCTCCATTCTGACTAGGACTCCTTTGGTGGGAAACTTGACTATACCCTGGGTTACATGAATATAATGACCCTGTACTAGAACCCCCTGTAGCTTGCACATACTCCCCTGTTAAAAATGAACTCTCTGTAGAAGAAACATTCTGCAAGGAATAAGCATTACTAGCACCATAAGCTGCTGGTGACACCGGGTCAGCTGTGAATGACCTCTCACTGCCCTCTGTCCAGCAAGGCCGATGTTGGTGATTAGGACTGCTGGAATGAGGCAGGGAAGGGAAGCGGATGGGATTCAGCATTTCTGAGATAGGCTCCAACTTGAAGGAGGTGGATCCCCCATCCAGTTCAAGGTATTTGTGTTCTGGTGTGTTGTCTTGAACTGACTGAGAGTTGAGCGCAATGACGTCTGTGTGACTGGCAGCCGTCTCCTGGAAGGAGGTCAGGTTGTGATAAGCATCCTCGTATGTCCCCTCAGAGCCGTCGCTGCTCTCAGAGTACGAGCTCTCTTCTGGTGGTTTCTGCTGGAACAGCATGCTGGTGGTATTTTCACTGTGATGGAACTCTTCGTCACTGCTATCGTTAAAGAACATAACTCTAGGGATGGTATCGGAGCTGCCTGCATTGGGCATGGGTGCCTCCATTTGGGCCTCGCTGCCATAATGTAATGCAGCAAAGTCAGTATTGGTTATGCAGCCTTCCAAGTCAGCCACATTCCCGGTACTCAGCTGTACATCCCTCATAACAATGTCATTGACAGCAGAGTTCTGGCAGTCCCGACAGCTCCCTCTTTCATTACTATTGAACTGTGATAAGTCAATAGCTTTCTTGCTGTCTCTACCTTGTGAATTCTCCTCCTTCTCACTCCATCCTCCTGATATGTCAGAGCCTTGTGACATATTGTTTTTCTTTTCCAGTTCCAGTCTCATCAGAGTATGAATAAAATGAGTTTTCACCCGCACAGGATTGAACTCTATTCTCCCTGCCAGGTTGCCACAGCCATCTTTGGTGCAGCCACATGGAAAGGAAAGACGATCCACCTGGCATTTGATTCCAGCCAGACTACAAACGCATGTTTCTGGGTCACAGTACACCTTGCAGTCACAGCCACACACCTCACGGGACACGCGTATCTGCTTGCACTCATCCTTCTCCATGTTGTCAATTTTCTTAATGCCTGACTGTCGTAGTAGTGTGCGCCTCTGTCGTGTGGAGACTGGCTGTAAGAAATATAGATCAGTTTCATCTTCAGAGTCGGAGGACGTTGGATTGTCACTGTCAGATGAGGCATCACTATGAGATTCTTGTTCGATCAGCTGTTGTTGTCCTTGTTGTTGTTGCTGCTGGTGCTGTAACTGAAGCTGTTTCTGCATTTGACGTTGCTCCTTGATCATACGCTGGTGGATCTGATGCTGCAGACGTTTGTATTCACTCAAGGTGAACTTCTCTGTGTGAGTGTGTTTCTCTCCCATACCTAAAACATATACAAACCACAGTCTGTCATATGCTGGTCTTATTGCACAACATATCAATTATAAATATCTTTACTGATTTAATATTATCTTTTACGGCTCCAACCAAAAATGTTACCAAAGTCATTAGATACCATCCATATATATATATATATATATAGAAGTGGCAAACAGAAACCACTGACGTGACAAAAGAACAAACATTCCACACAGCATCTTCCTATGCTACACTGAAAATACTACTTCATTAATGAATTTCATGATTTTTCAGATATCATTCAATATGCACGTGGCCTGCCATGCCACCATAGTTCTCAGTTTTCATGAATACTATCGACTTAACAAAGGATTACAAATCATGCATTTTAGCATACAAACATTGATGTTTTGTGGGAAATATGAAAGGAAAAATTTTAATGATGTATAACCTAACACACATGACTTCACTTGTTTTTCTTTCTTTTCCCTGACAGTACACCTGCTCATGACAAGAGAAGAGAATGGTTTTTAAAATGTAACTAATTTTTGAGATTTGAATTTGATGTTGAGATGTTGGGCAAGTAATGCAAAAATTTTGAACTCCCCCTTCCAGAAGAAAATCTGTCATTTGTAATTTGTGTTAAAAATACTCTTTTGGTCCATTAATCCATGAAATATGGGTAGTAATTTCCACAATATTGTTTCCAAGAATTGCATTATAATAATTGGCATTTGATGCATTTTTCATATCAGTTAGCCATAGGTGGCCTTTAAACACAGGAAGGAATAATTCCTTAGTCTGGGATGACCTTCTGGAATATTTAAAGCTAACTTCTGAAGAAAAAAAGGATTTTCTAGAATGGTGACCTGTAAAAACTCTGGGTTAATGGTGTTAACAAATTTGCGGTATCCAAAGATCCATTTTAATTGAAAACAATATTTTTCAACTTTACAAAAAAAAAAAAAAAAAACTTTCACACAACAACTCATTATCAATAATTTTGTCCCCTTTGAATAATTTGCTGTTTCATCTTGCCACAAATGAAGCCAAAAACCATTCTTGCATAATCTATCCAGTCTTCTCTTAACCTCAGTGGACACCCACTGGCTACTTGTTAACACTGACGTCAGTTAACTCAGGAATTCTGACCTGCCTTAACCCTCCTGAACCCTGTCCTCGTCACTGGATCAAAGGCCAAAATGTTGTTAAATGCACTGAATGCATTCTAATATCATCTATGACATGTAATCCTGCTATGTTATTGCCTATTCCAAAATGCCCATAGTGCTGGGCATACAAACTAACACATCTACAATTTTTAAAACAACATAGATTCATGCTGAAACTCTTTGGGAGAAATTAAGAGGTCATTGGAATGGGACGCGTATCCATGGGAACAAACTTAGAGAGTATTAATTTCAGTGCTTATTAAGCTGCATTACGAGTACACATGTTCACTTTTTAGGTATGGGTGCAATGAAACCTGGCAAAAGACCCCCCCAACAGCAAGCTTTTTCAAGAGCTTACTTTAGCTGTAAATGACATAACTAAAATTCTTACACCTTTATTTTCATTGAGTACATATTTCTAATGCTGACATGTCCAATAATGGAAACAAAAAGCTGAACTCCTACATAACTAAAGTAGAAAAAAAAAAGAAGTCTTTTGACCATTTATAAACTTTGAATGCAACAGAGCATTTCTTATTTTAGCAAAAGGATTTTTAGTATTTCATAATTACATTTTTCTTTTTTTTAGTGCAAAATGTAGCTCTGAGTAGAGGTTTTGTAAACTAACACACTTGACTACCTAATATTTATTATTCCTTTACGTTATTATGTTTAATCTGCCAGTCTTGAAATGCATTTTCATTTTTTTATAATTCTTTTCATAACATACAGCAGACAAATAAATACACAGCTTCTACACTCTTTAATTTATCAGTACAAATTTATAAACCGAAAACAGTTTGTATTGTATTTCATCAAATATGTAGGTCTTTGATTCTCCTTTGTGTAAAATACTTAAGTCCAGTGCTAAACCCAACTATCTATAAATTATTAAGTTCCTTGTCAAGAGTTGTTGATGTGTTTTCTATTTTTTTTTACTGTTACAGCCCTTAAACCCTTTACTAGGTAAAATTCTTATACATGTTAACAAAGTTTACTTGTTACTAACTTTTTTATTTGGGCCAAAACATTTCAATTAATGACGTAATAAAAAAAGTTTAGGTACAGTGTTTGCATGATTGATTGGGGCATTGGGGGGGGGACCAGAAATGCAACCAAAATCATTTTCATGTCAACAAATTGCCATCTTTGCCTGTGAATCACTTGCTGGTGCCACTTCAAATTGCAAACAGCACTAGGAAGCTTGTGCTTGTGCGTGTGTGTAAATGTGACTATAGCATCCCTTACCCAGTGTTGATCCACCCTGACTGGGGACACAAGTGAACCCTTGCTTTCTGGGGAAGTAGAAAACTGTGACTCCATTAAAATTCACAGACCTCTTTTGCTTCTTCTTCTGAGGGGGTAATTCATCTGTGGAATAAAGTCATATGAACATCACTTAATAGGTATTAATATTTTAAAATGAATCTTTACATTTCATATAGCATCTATATTCTACTCTTTAAATTACCACCAATAAGAGTTAAATATTGAAAAAACTCCTGGGACATATAATTTCTTTAACTACAAAATTATATCTTAGATTATAAACGACACTGATCTCTACTTGCCCAAAATAAGATTCCACAGTTACTTCTTGTGTCTATTCTGCTGTCAAGTCTAAAGACTCTTGACTACACTAGTTTTTACTAATCTTTAAGAGACGAAACTCGAATTACCACTTATATTTGTTCTTTCTGTATTGCTGCTAACAGTTTTCAGTCACTGCCGTCTACTCTCCCAGACTAATTGGAACTTGTGTACTAGCAGTTGTATCTGTGCCGTCTATACTGCTGTTCACACTGTCTTCACACTCTAGACTACTGTTATCTACTCACCCCGACTAGATGGAACTCCTGTACTACCAGTTGTGTTAGTACTGTCTATACTGCTGTTTACACTGTCTTCAGACTCAGACGCTATAACACTGGTCTCAGAGCTAACGCTGTCAAAGGTGCGTTTTGGCATGCTGGCAGGTTTCTATTATTGCACAAACCCAGTGGATCAATTTTCATGGGAATACTGTAGTACTGGCTAGCTCCTTCCCATTACTTGGTCTAAAAGAGAAAAAAATATAAAAGCTTTATATACTTTACGATATCAAATGCAAGTCGTCTCATATAATAGACTTTTGTTTGTATTGGTTATACATGAAATAATAAGTTTTCTATTAAAACAGGAGGCAATCAAGATATATCTAACTGATACAGGTAACTGCTATCATGCAATCTGCACTTGCCTCACCTGGATTTTGTTCAATTTTTATGTTTATGAGTGACCTACATTTACACATGATTACAGATACCTGAACAATTATCACTGTCATATTTTTTTCTCTTTGTATTTAGTTTACAGAACCAAATGTCCGTTTGTATGATATAATAATAATAATTATAACATATGTAATTATAATGAAAATGGTGTATTCCTTGCCAAAATTTAAGATAAAGCTTGAGTGTGTGTTCAATTGTTTCTTATATTTTCTAGTAGAGTCAACTTCAAAGTCTTACACAATGCAATCCTTTTGCTTTTTTTTTTTACTTAAAACTTTCTACAATACAAGGGCATTCTTCACTTAATCGTCATTCAAAATATTGCTTTGAAGTATTTAATTTTCTTGGCACGTTCTTGAAATTGCCCATATATAAACTATGAATAATTCATACTTCAAGTTACATATACAAATGGTTGCCATAACAACAAGTGAACCCTCTCCAGCTCACAAAAAGGTACTGCTATAAAGATCAATACATCTTCTTTTTTAAATTTCCCAATTGGAGAATAGCAAAACAGACCGCCCCTACCTCCATGGCTCTCAGGACACGACCTCAGAACACTGTCAAATGATTAGAGATTCCATGTTACACTTATATTCTAACATGCTGTGCATGGTTTGGTATATTGCATGACAAAAGATGACACCATTACAAGTCCAGCAATGTCCACTTCACATTTAGAATGTGTTCTTAACAGAACCATTGATAAAATACAATATTTCAAAAAAAAAAAAAATCTGCCAATTAATTACATCAAATGCAACCAGGTTTGACTTTCATAAGCAACATACATCATCAATCTACTTTTGTTAACATTTTTAATCTACTTCAAGCAGCAGGCTATTTTTCAGGTGCTTTTTTAGTGTGTAGTATGTCAACCTGCATGAAGTAAGACACCAGTTCTGTTATCTGTTCCCCAAAAGTAGGATAAAAAATTACAGCATCTTTCCAATTACTTTGCATAATGATTTTCTTCACCTTACACATCACAGGTCAGTGTTGACATTGAGAGCCCACAGTAAGGTCACAATATTTCCAACCTATAAATCTGCTTATGAAAACAGCAATAACTAGCTTGTATGTTCATAGGCAAATAACATAAATTTTACTCAATGCATTCCAAATGCAAAAATAGTGCACCAAGGAAAGCTATGATGATTGCATGACAACCTTAACTGGGTCACAATGCATAACAACAACCACTTCCATTTCCAGTCTGCTGCCTTCTCTGCACAAAAATGCTGTCCTTTCACCAAACTGTTACACAAAGGTATGATTACTTCACAGTTGTCTGGTCAATGGATTTGTAGAAGTCTTCCTTAATAACATAATTTACAATAGAGAATAAAATCCTCACTTCGGTGAAAAGATTGCTTCAATTTGTTTACACCATAGCGAATGTCTGGAAAACAGATATTCATATTGGGGCAAATCATCATCACATATGCAAGCACACCCACATGCAATATCACACTTCACATCACTGCTATTGTAATAATGGCACCAAATGTCACACATTGCAACAATATATTTTCCTATTAATTCAGTTTGGTTGTGGAAATGTTCTCGTCCCCTCAATTTAATTAATTATTCTGTCTAGTGCTAGTATTGACCCAGATGCTACTGCAAAGGATCAATACCTCTGGAAACCATTGCTCCGGCCCATTCAGAGCTGTGGAGGAAAATCAATATATAGACTTCATTAACCACTTCGCAGAAATCCCCAGCAGCCCTGAGATTTGATGTCTCCCTCTCTTTTTTTTTAAATATAAAACACAAGGATAAGATGAATGATTTAAAGCAGAATGAATCACTAGTAACTTGTTAATCCTTCCATATATCCCACCTCATGTGCCAATATCAGCAATTTACCTGCATGTTTCTGAACCATTAATGCCTCCATCATTCTAAATATAAAGGTTAAAAACAGACTTGGATTAATATTAACAAGAGGCTGAATACCTTTTTGTGAAAAACAAAGAACAACAGTACTATTAAAATTGACCTCTCTCTCATAAAAACTCATTTCTACACACATAGCTATTCAATCCTCATAACCCCAGTGGATTTCTGAAGTTGAACTAAATAATTCTTTGGTCTTACAAAAACAGTAAGTCTCAAGAGATTATGTTTCTAGAAGTCTCCACACAAACAATTTTTTTACAATGTTGTTCACCATATTCTGCCTGTTTGCTTTAGATAACTGATAAACCCATATACTCAAAAAACAATCTCAATGTTATTTGATTTTGGTTTATAATCTGTCCTATAATGCTTAAAAAAAAGAAAGAAAAGAAAAACCGGCTACAAGCTGTAAACGTATTTCAGATAAAAAAGGACAATTAATGCAGAAGGGCAAATCATTTTGTTGACACAAAAATCATCAGTAAACCATTTAATAATTTCTACATTTTACCTATGTCAACTTTCTTCTATCATTCAAAACACTGTTCATTATAAATGCAATCCCTGGATTATCAGTTTTTTTTTTCATTAGCATCATGGATTGCATTAATCTAAAATGTTATTCCTGAATTTTGGCCATAAATAATTATTTTAATTCTTGTTACTTAGTTTACAACAATAAATTTGTTTGTTTCTCACAGCAGAATGATGTCACATAATGCAATTCAACCATAAATGCCTTATATTAGTACAAGTCTCTCCCCCTCGTCTTTATTTTTTGATAACATTGTAATGTTCAATCACACAGCATTTTTATTTTAAACATGAATTCAAATAAAGTGCTTCTGAGATGAATGTTCTCAAATTTCTTTATGGTTCATAGTCACAAAAAATAATTGTTGTATTTGTAGATTCAACAAAAAACGAGATTTGCCTTAAAATATAATACAATTAAAACCTGTTCATCTAAACTAACTTAATGTTTTTTGGAAACAAAAGATATAACAGTTGAATAAATTGATAAAATATCAAGGAAGTGTAGAGTGCACCAACCAAAGTTTTTATAAAAATCATTGGTAAACTGCTGCATACCATTTCTCTCCCTGCCATTTAAGGAGGTATAAAATGACCCAGTTAATTATATACCTTGGGCGCCCCACTGCGAAGGTAAATTCTTGATCCAAACCAGATCTCTTCGAAATTTACCTTGGATATACTTCACATAACTAAGTGCTTATTTATTAACTATCATTTATATTTGGAAAGTGATTAAAACAAATCAGCTGATCATGCTACAACAATGGCCGACCCGCCTGAGACAGTGATGAATAATAATGAGCTTGAAATCTTACCTTTCACTTTAAATCCAGTTAATACCCTGCAATATAAAAATGCATTTTGCATTACCTGTTAAACTGCTAAAACTACAAAAAAGCAAGTACCTATAATAATAGTATTTTAAGTTCGCCGTCAGAGCTAGACTTAAATGATAATTATCCAAAATGACAATCTGAAGGTGTACACAGACGGCATTTAAAGGCACAGGATTTTATCTCGCGTGTGTTTCTTAGGCTATAAAATACCACAATAAGACTTTACTTCTTTAGGAGAAGATATGATTTAAAATACGATCCCCGGTTTTTAATTATCAATAATGAAACATACCTGTATTTGAATGGAAAATTACCACATTTCAGGTCTGACTTCTTCAATGGCCTAGGCCTGCCATCATATCATGTCGAAGACGTCACAACAAACCGACCAATAAACAACGTCCTTCCCGTAAAAGGTTAGGACGAGTTTATAAATCCATAGGGGTAAAGGCCTCACTACCTTGTTATTATATCCCTATTAACTCAGAAATTACACATTTAAGATGTCCAATTAATTAAAAAAATAATAAGTAAAATATTTTGGAATTTTAAAAATTATTTTTAGACATAGAATGATACCATTATACTAGATTAGATTTATTTCACCCCTTTTACTGGGAACCGGAAAATATGACCTATATTTTATTTAGGTCAACATTGTGTTCTCGCAGAGCACGTGGAACCGCGTAGACAAGTAAACAGTGACTGCGTCACAAAGGATACGAGACATTCGGCACGCAATGTAATTTCTAAAGTGTGAAAATGTAAGTTGAACATTTTTCAGTGGTCCAATCGCTACACTGCAACAACACCAGTGTTTCCGTTGTTGGTTACGACGTGGGCCTCAATGCATTTTGTGGAATGTCAAATGCATGTGTGATCCCGAATTTACCGGGCTAGCGATTTCAAGTGATGTATTTCCTCATCACATAGATCTAATTGTGTAAAATCGATTTTCCCCAAGATGTTAAACCAAACAACACAGCTTCTCGGGTCCGTTCTGCGGGGGCCGACAGAACGAGTTTAGTCTGCGCTTCATATACACTGAGCAAAAAATATATATAGTATAAAACCCCCCTTATGTGAATTGTAAATATTGGGATGCGGACAGTACTAGTACATATGTATATAACCCATAATGCTGATAAAACGTGAGGCGTTTATATTTTTGTTGAGCACTAATATTAAACGTATATATATATATATATATATATATATATATATATATATATATATATATATATATATATATATATATATATATGTGTGTGTGTGTGTGTGTGTGTGTGTGTGTGTATCAGATCTTACAACAGTTTAATTTAACACAATTTAATATTTGTCATAACCTGAGACTCTGGTAAATGGAAAAGTAGAATGCATTGAGAATGTCCTTTTAAATGATTTTCATCAATCACTAAGGCATGCAGCCTTGCATGCTTAGAAGACAAAAAAAAAAAAGTCAATTGGCATTTGCAGAACTGAAACTCAAAGTAGTCATAAATGTTTAAATTGTACTTTCTATATGGCTTTATCAGATATTCAAGATGCCACCAACAAAAAGGAAAAAGAAAAATGAGAAAATGCTACATAAGAAAAAAACAAAGGCTACTAGAAATCCAATGGTTCTGGTTCCAGTGGACATTATGAAAGTGCCCCTGCCAGCACATGCATTGGAGGTGATAGAGAAGAATGACAGGAAGGAGGCTGACAGGAAGAAATTGGATATTGCAGCCAGATTGAACATAATTCACGAGAGGATTAAAATTGTAAGACTGAAAAAGGCCAATAACTAACATGGAAGCAATCTAGCTGCCTCCTTTTATCTTTTTTTTTAATTTTCATAAAAATAAAAATACAGATCTGTGGTAACATAAACAACATTCACAAAGTTTGAACTTTTAAAGGAAGACATGTTGGGTTCATTTCTGATATATCACTTTATTTAAGAAAAAGGTACTGATTAACAGGAATATATATCATTTCCTTGCATTTTCTCTATTTTGAATTTTTCAGGCTTATGAAAATGCTGGTATGGTCACCAATATCTACTCCTCATCTTCAGAGGTATTCATTTAATCTTTTTGTTCTTCATGACGACTGTGATATAAGTCAAAATATTTGGTTGGAGATATAAAGTAATTTTCATATATTTTCATTAACCAAAAAAGCCAATTTATTACTTTATTTTATTTTATTTTTGTTGACATCAAATTGTTAAACCTTTTCTTCTCTGCTTCCTTTCCAAACGAATAAGGTAAATTATCTTACACAATTAAGCACCAATGCTTTGTTTTTTTTCTTTTATGATAGTAACTGACATTTCCTTGTTTGTTTTCATTGAATTATTTCCATATGATTATTTTGTTACTTCATGAAGTTTATGGTTTCTTGTTTGATTATTTGTGTCTGGTACTGAGATTAGGATTTCTTTTTTTTTTTCAAACCAAATCCAGACATATTTGCATTTGATTGGTAGCAAAATTATTATTTTTGCAATTACATTCTTTTTTGGCAGAGAAAAGTTACTTTTGACTTCACACATTTCAGCGTGAAATGTTACAAAAGCTTCAGCGTAAACCACCCACTGCAGTTTTTGATATAAAAGAAAAGAAGAAAAGGGTAAGACAATTGTTAAAAAATTATGGAAATTGAATAAAAAGAAAATCATTGATGATATTCAGTCTACTTCTTTTTTGTTATTTTTAACTATCTGAAATATACCTTTTTACTTGAGAAATATTTTGGTGCCATTTAAAATACCTCCTGCAGTAATATAAGAGTGAAAAAGTACTCGTCTTTGATTGTCTTGTTTTTTAAAAAATTTACTTTGATTTTCAGATAGCAGAACAGCATAATATGATGGAATTGGTGAAAACATATTTAAATGGTTGTGAAAAAAGACTTCAGCTCATGAAAGAAGTTGAAATGTGGTTGGATTCATGTAATGACTTAGTAAGTCAGCACAATGTAGTGAATGTGTATGCATGATTAAATTGGGTTGAGTTAGAAACTGGCTGTTAAAAAAACTTGATTTCAGGCATCTTTGTTCTGAGTACACTTTAATATACCAATGCCTGCAAAATGATACTCATAATATTAGGTGAGTTTAAGGCCGCATTCAGAACAGTGGACTAACTAGTTTGGGGGTCAAATATGGCAACCCACTAAAAAGCTTGCTGTCTAATCTGCAAATAGACACTAAATAGATTCCCCATGGGGAAGTATTCAAGTGGGTTGGCCATATTTGACAAGTGGACTAGTTAGTCTACTGTGCTTATGTGGCCTAAGAGCTAAATCCATAATGGGATGTTTTGTAAAAGATAGAGGGCACTAGGGTTATGTTGGTCATGTTTTTACTGTGTGTATAAGAGATGTGTATCTTCTGTAATGTTATATTTTACAGGAAGAGGACTGTCTTTCACCTGAGCAGTTAGAAGCCAAAGGGCTTGAAATTCAAGTCAGCCATCTAGAAATACTGTAAGTTTTGTGTGACATTTTTAACATAGACTTCCTTATCTTTCATCCTGTGCTTATTTCAATTTACACAATACTGTATATTCATTTTATATTTTAACATACTTAATTGTTGAAACTTAGGTTGTAATTGTTTTACCAATAAAATGTTTAGTGTGACTGTATATTACACAAGATTTCATGGTCACATCAACAACCCTATTCATCAAACAGGCCTAAAATAAGTCTGCTAATGTAAGTTGGCATAATACACGTACCATAATGATTTTCCTTTCCTTTCATTGTTTAATTTTAGAAATGCTCTTGAGTTTGCCAAAGAAGCTGGAGAAAAACTGAAAGTTCTTGGCCATAAAGTGATGGTTGAAGCAGGGTTGATAGAGGAAGATGACCCTTCTGTCAGGTAAACTGAATTATAGTGAATCTGTTTGTATGTGGTTAGCAGACTCACTTCTACGTTGGACATGTAATGGCTGTTGTATGTATATATCACGTTTATTTATTAATAGGGAAGAGTGGGCACATCACCCTTGGATAGCCTAAATTGATCCTCTCCAAAATGTTATGTTTTTGTTTCTGTGTGTGTGTGTGTGTGTGTGTGCGCGTGCGTGCGTGCGTGCGTGTTGAAAGGAGAGGAAAAGAGTGAGAGCGAGAAATATACCATGGAACTTTATTGCATACTGTAAAGAATGCATAACTTATAGATGTGTGTATATCTTCCATTCCAGTTCAGAAAAAAAGCAAGTAATGAGACAACTTCTGAGAGGAGAAAGAGTAATACCAAAGGAAGCATTGGATGGTAATATATGTCCCCATAACTAAAGAAGTGAAGTAGTAAAACAAGTCACCGATGGAATTTTTCATGATTTTTAACAAGACCTTGTACTCAAATACAAAGTGTTTTATTTTTGAACATTCAGAGACCAAGTTGCTGAGTGATCCCAACAACATGGAGGTTGCCTTGAAAACTGTCAGCAGGACTCTGGATGATGCCAGCAGAGTTGTAAAAGGCAATGTTAAAATAGGTAAACTTCTCAATTCTGCCATTTTCTTCTCCATTTCTTTATTATCTCTGTATTTCACTTTTTGACATTTTGCTTTTATAGGGAACTTGGTTAATAAATGATAATTGGTTACAGCATCGAAGTATATCTATTCATATACTTTCACAATATGAATTTACAGCTTGCATACAGTTTTGAGGATAGAAGTGGTGTGATTAATTTGACTTTTTACCATAAAAATTAGGCACTTGCCTGGATTTTGTGTTTTTAAGTGTTGACATCTAAAATGCTTTCTTTGCTCAGAGAAATTTTAAAAGTGTTTACCTCATCTTGTCTTTTTTCCCTTAGTGCTTAGAAATGGTGCTCGGCAGTTCCGGTTCATAAAAAAAGCTGTTGCAATGAGGCAAGAACAAATAGAACAAAAAGATCAAGAACTGTTGAAAATGGGTGTTGTGAGTATCTTCGTAAATATGTAAATGTTGGCTTTTTAATCTTGCAAAGTGCCTAGATCTAACTTCTTTATCAGTGATAAATATTTTTAGAATGTTGAAGTATAAGGGTTAAGGGTTTATTAAAGCTTAATAGGATCTACTCAGTTTAGACGATCATTTCTTTTAATGTACAGTTTGTTCTAGACAAATTCTCTATGTTTCTGTTATACTAGTACTCTGTTCTAGGAAGTGGACAGACTTACAAATGCTGCAGAACGTTTAAAGAGGGAGAACGAAGAAAAAGGAACCAGGCTAGAAACTTTAGATGCACAAATTGACCAGCTGAATATGACTGTGGTAAGAATCAGTGTGGCAGAAGTTAATTCCTAGGAAAATATTTTTTAAAATTTATTTGAGTTATTTGTAATAATAAGCTCAAAATATTAAAAAACATTTATTCTATTATTTTAAGGGGTAAGCAATCAACATTTCTGCTTACTAGAGTGTGTGTTGCTTATTTAGTTCTTTTTTTATGGAAGGGGGTTGGGGGGGAGTTGTAAAGGTAAATGAGTAGAAAAATATGGATTTGTTGTGAGAAATCCCTTTCATCATTTTCACAGAATCGATTGCAAGAGAGCATGGCTGCGGGTGAAATAAAATATCAAGAATGTGAAAAGAAGTTAAAGATACTTCAAGAAGAAAAACAAAAACAAGAGAAAGTGGTTAAGAAGACATCAAAAACTAGAAGTATAGTTACACTGGTCAAGTCAGATTCAAGTCGAGCCAAGTTACCAAAACGTAAAGAATCAGTTATAAGTAAGGAAATGTCTATTATATTCTTTGATAACCTAATCTGTAATTATTTGATTTTAAATTAAAAAATATGATATTTCCAATAACAAACTTAAAATATAATGAAAATGACACAAGATATTGTTTTTAGGCATAATTGTGTCTGTTTATTGTAAATTGATAGACCGTATAATTTCTATCAGAGGATATACTTTTCATATGTTAAACTCTCTTAATATCAGTATTGTTTTTCACATTTTAGGGAAAACTTCAGAAGCTGAGCAAATGAGTGAATCAGTTAAACAGAACTTTATTGCAGGCCGTCCAGTTGTCGAAGCTCTGAAAGAAGAAATTCAGTATTATAAGGTACCCTATGATAGTTGATGGGCTTTCCATCAAATTGAGTTAAGAATTAAATTGAATCAAAATCAAATTTATAAAAACTGATTTAAATCAAACATACCCTGTAAACTAGATATCATTTTGATATTTAGTTCTTGCATCCATTTCTACTGCTTGCAATACTAGCAAATTAACCAAGAAATTCCAACAGTAAAAATAAAGCTCCTGTTTGCCATGAAATTTACCAAAAAAAAATGCTGATTATAGCTGATGTCAGTTATTTGTTTGAGAAAAAGGAAATCCAAACAGTGCTACACTGTCTATGCACCAAATATTAGGCAGCAAGAAAAACAGTTGAACTACACTGTATAAATTTTTTATGCTTGGAGTTATGAGCTTTATTTATAAGCTTGTACTGAATGCATATCAGTTCAATTCATTTTGTAATCAATATTTGCTTCATTAACTACATCATCAGCAGATCTCGCTGATGTGATTGTTACTGTAACAGTTAAGCTGCACAAATATTCCTCATTCTCTAGTGTAGAAAAACGTGAATTACTTAAGCTCCCAGTGCTGTATTGTATGTCACAATCTATACATATATTCATGTATACTGCTGCATGATACAAACTCTCTGTTTGTATCTCTAGAACCTGGCTGAAGAAAAGGAAAACGAGAAACAGGTTGTGGAGAAGCAGATGAAGCAAAATTTAGGTAGGAATATCCAACACTTTGTAGCCACACAATTATCACTTTGGTTGTAAGATACAATATGGACATTACTTTCTTATAATTTTTTATTTTTTTCTATCCACTGCCTTCCTTTGTGCCACAACCAGCAAATCATGATTTGAACAAAATGCAGACCTTGGTCGTCTTTCTGTGCCATATGCTGTGTATATACCCTGATATATATATATATATATATATATATATATATATATATATATATATATATATATATATATATATATATATATATATATATATATATATATATGGACAGAGAGAGAGAGAGACTTGGGATTTAATTTGTGTTGAATATTTTATTTGGCCTAATCCATGAACAACTGAAACTGCAAGGAAGTTTTTCAGATTTCTATTATTTCACTGTTTCATCCATTTTCTCACCTCATGCATTCTTTCTCTTTCCTTGTTTCTTTTTCACATCTTTGCACTATTTTCTATCTGCTTGCTGTTTAATTATCTGTAGAGAAGGTGGCTAAACTTGAGATGAAGGTTGATTCTTTGACTGAATTGACCAAAATAGAACAGGAAAGAATTGGAGAAATGACCCCAGAATCTACAGGACCCCTATTGAACCTTCAGATGAGAACTCTATACCAGAAGGTGTCTTTATTGTGTTTCCTTTCTCTATTAATCATAATAGCTTCCATTTTCCTATTAACAAAAATTTTTGTTAACATTTTACTAGAATACTATTCAAATTGCCTTTTTCCTGTTTTAAGACTATCATATGACATTTGTCATAGAAAGCAATATCCCTGTTCAGGAGTTTATTGAATTGTTAAAGGTTTGAGCATTTTTTCATTTTGATGAAAAGATTTTGGCATGTCAGATCATGCTTTAATTTCCTTCACTGGCAGGCTTTTAGTACTGGTATCTCATTCCAGAATGACACCCTTGAAAGGCAAGTGGAGCGGTTGTTGCAAGACCTCAAAATGAAAGACGAGTTGATTCAGTTTCAAGAAAGTAGACTTGGTGAAGTGAAGGCAGAGTATCAGCTGATGATGGTGCTAGAAGACATTCAGAGGTCCATTTCTGACCATGAAGGTGCAGCTGGGAGTAGAGGCAGCGAGAAAAAGTCAGGGAAGTCACAAAATGATATAGCTAAATTGATCAACAAGCTCAAAAATGAGTATGAGGGAGAGGTGAACCGACTGAAGGATTTTGTTCATAAGGAAAAGCAGAGGTGAGTCAACTGTTATATCTCAGTTTTCTGTTAATGATAAACAAATATCTGAAAAACTTGCAGGCTTGTCATTAACATTATTTTATATTTATATATAAAATTTTATGATATATTGATTTTGATTAATACCTCTCTATGGGCCAAGGTATTTTGTTGAGTTTGGACATTTGTTAAGCAAAATTTAAATCTAATAGCAGTTTGGGTTTTCACGCCAAGTCATGAAGAAGACTACAGTGTTGTAGTTGTTACTTTTTCCTTTGAAGGTCTGAGGCAACCATTAGGAAAGTTGAAGCACAGCATAAGGAGCAGTTGCTGGGAATCCACAAGGAAAGCATACACTTGCTGAGAGCCATCAATCGGTTCAAGGACACAGTGGCACAAATATTGGACAAAGAGAATCTACCAGATGCTGCCTACTACGTCCGGCAGTTGGCTAATTTACCCACAGAAGAAGTAAGTTTATTCACATGGATTTGATTGTATCTGTTCATTAATATGGCATGCCCTTAGTAATCCAAAGCAACCACGTGTTCTTAGTCAAGGCAAGAGGCACAAGACTTTCCACATTATGTCATCCATAATATGTTCTTATAACCATCCTTTAGAAAAAAGCATGTCTATGCATTTGAAAAATTAAATGTAGCTAGCAGATATGAATTAAGTAGGTCAATCAAATCCATAGCTACGTACTGTACCACAGGTGGTTATATATTCTTCCAGTAAGAGGATAAAATAAAAATATTGTTTAATTTTTTTTTCACTGTTCTCTGGACTGATCCACATTTTCATGGTTCAGTGGCGGATTTAGAGGGGGGGTATTTCTTAACTTTAGCAGCATTTTTTTTCTCTCTCCACCTACTCGCATAAGTTTTTATAGGTCTCCAGAGGATGTCAGCCTTAAAAATTAAATCAGTTTGGCCTGGGTACCTTTCTGAATGGACAGGTGCAGTTGCGTCCTAGTGGGTATACATCTTCTGCCATAACTTTTAATAGGGGATTCATGTCGGTGTGGTTCATTTGTTTCAGGTACCCAGTGACGCCAAGTTCCTCCTGGGACAAATGGCTAGCAATGCAGTTGAGCGTAAGTAGGATTATCTCCATCAGTTTAGACAAAAAGATATGATCTATATAGGAACATCAATTTTGTTATGGCAGAAATTTTACAATGTGCAGACAGTTTTGTCATACTAGCTTATCAAATCTTCCATATATGAAACAAAAAAAAAAGAATCTGACAGAAATAAAAAGAGAAATAATTGATATTCTTTATTGTTATTAGCACCATTGTATTTTTTTAGTGCTGGTTGCCATAGAGTTCAAGTTGTCCCAAGCACTGCTGAACAAGAGGTTTGAAATCAAGGATAACACCATAGCCAAAGCTTTTGCAAACAAAGATTTGGAGGTTAGAAATATTGCGTACAGTGTTATCAGTTTTATTGTAATGTTTGCATGTATGTTTGTACTGAAGAATATCATAATATAATAATGATTTCTTATTGTTCAGATAAACAAATGGTTGAATGTTGTTAATATGATTTTAACCTAAAATAGAAATAAATGCAGATACTCTCTCATGGACAAACATTGATTCTTTTTTGTGACAGTCATTTTTTTCATATGATAGACTATAATGGCAGTGATGAAGAAAGTAAAACACAACAACCAGCAGATGACAGATGAACTTAGGCAAACCAAACAACAACTGTCTGCTGCCGAGGAGGCACTCAAGGGAATAAGAAATGAAGAGGTGAAAAAGATACTCTGTTTCCTTATATAATCTCCATAGTTTTATGGTCTTCCCTAAATTTTGATGAAGGCAATATAAATATTTTTAAATTCAGTTTTGATTTATGATAACATAGAAGCATCTATTGCACATAGGAGCCTATTTTGTGTATGTTTTATAACCAGAGAAATAAGAAAAAACTCTCATTAACTGATATATTTATTTATTCACAATAATTATCGGTTTTCCCCTTAGAACACAAAGTATGGCAGTTTGACAGACAGATACAAGCGGCTGTGGGGCCAATTTAATGCTTTACAAAAGGACTACCAGCTCTTGTAAGTTTACTTTATATGTTTTCTGAAGGACTGCTCCTGATGAAACTGGAATGTAAAAGACCCACTGTCCATCTTGTTGAATGGTTATCATTATAAATTTAGACTTATTATGAAGCCATTCAAAATGAGTTAGCTCACAAAAGCTAATCCACAGTAATTGGACTCTTGCTGAAAGCTGATTAATAGACTGACACGCCTCTTGTTTCCAACATACTCATATAAATACCAGCTTTTCTGTATTTTGTTCAATGTCAAGAGGTGTTTTTTTGTCTGTTAATCTCATAGCATTCAGCAATTGTCCCCATGGAGTAAGTGTGCATTAGCTTTAGCTACCTCACTCATTTTCAAAGGCCCCTAGCTATGACTGCTTTAAAATTGCCTTCACATACTTACTTACATTTTGTAAATCGGTCATTTATAATTAGCAAACAAAGCTAAGCCTGACAATTTTCTTTAAAAAATTGCCCTGACAGCTTAATTGTTTGCACTGAGTAGTAGTTATGACTATGTGTGCTAATGTGAAAAAACCTGAAGGATTTTATTTATTTGTTTGTTTATAAATTGATTTTTTTTGTTTGTTTTGCAGGGAGCAAAATGTTTTGACCAAAACCAATAGAACAATTGCAATGAAGGAAATGATAAAAGAGAGAAAGGGTAAATTGCAGAAAGAACTTCAAGCTCATAAAGAAATGGTTAAGGAAATGCAAAAGCAGGTAGCCTTTAATGTGAAAAATTAAGAGTTGACAAACCGAAGCACTTAAGATTTTTCCCAAAGAAGTATGATCCAAAAATGTGCTGATAGAACATTCTAAATCATATTTACGTAATTATCCTCTCTCTCAATCAGGGCCGGGCTATACCTGGTCAATAAAAACAGTCAGTTTGGCTTTGAGTGAGACTTTTTAAAAAGATGTAATAAAAGTGAGCTTTACGAGAAAGCAAAGGCAGTGCTTATTTGTTTGAGTTTTCTCCTAAAAGTTGAACTCCCAAAAAAACATATGTTCCTGGGCAACCTCTGCACTGGAAGGGTAGTAAGAAATGTATGTACAAAGCATGCAATACAAGTTTTTGGTGTCATATTTCAGGATTTTATCATGCAAACAGTATCTCATCACCTTTTCTTTTTTTCATTTCTAAATGGAAGGGGTGCATTTATTGCAATGACTGTTTTCATTACTTTCTTCCAGCAATATTCCCAATCTTCTGTTCCTGGCCTGACATCTTTGCCTGAAATGAGGCCTTGCAGTCAATGCAAGGATTACAAGAAAAAGTTGGAGCTCCTGGAGTCAAGTTATCGGCAAAGCAAAATATCACAGGAGAGATATGAAGTATGGATGTTTATTTTATTTTTTAGCCCTTTGACTTTCAATCAGAAAGAAATGAACTAATAAAAGGGGTCAAATGCCTTTTTACATCTGGCAGCATACTTAATTTACTGGACCAACTATCTTCCAGAGGTCTTTACATATAATTACACAACAGCTTTTTATAAGTTTTTGCTCCTTTTCAAGCATCCTTATGTGCAAAACCTACATTGAATTTACATGACTTGTTTGTTGTCAGGAAACTAAGAGGCTGCTAGAGAAATCCATGGATGTAGCAGGTGTACGTCTGCAGAGATTATTCACTAGATATGTTATCTTCTGCAGGATAAATGGCATCAAAGGTATATAAAGCATATGATTCTCTGTAGGATAAATCATATTAAAGATGGGTAGGGGGGGGCACACTTTATATCAGTTTGTAGATATGGATGGGAGACAATTTCCCAGTGTCTGGTACCAGAGGTGCTGTTTTTTACAACCTTGTTTTTTTTTTTTTTGCTCATTTTTCTTAGTTTCAAATTGTCATTTCAGCAAAATTGCTGAAATACCTGGAGACTGAAAATCTTCTCCCAGAGAGACATGATAAAGTCAACTTATATGTTCAAAACATGGATCAAAAGCTGTCACTGGTGAGACTATTGTATTCTATCTTTCCTACATTATACAACTTCAAAATAGTATCAGACTTTTTTTTGTCACTCCTTGCATCTTTATCTGGTAGAAGTAACTCTCTGCAGTTTTCTCTAGGGTAAGATAAAACATGCAAAGATGCCCAAATTTTGTTACCAGAGTAAGACCCCATTCCCAGAGATTAGATCGATCTACTTTAGATCGACCTAACTCCCTGGGGGTTCACGCTAGATAGCTGTCAGCTGAGTGGGCACGAAAGTTAATTACCCTCTTACAGCTTGTAGTAGGCGGGACAGGCATTTAAGCCGGATTATCTGACAGTAATCTAGTGAGACTCCCCGCGGGATAGATCGATCTAAAAGCTCTGGGAATACGCCCTTAGTAATGCAGTTTGGTGCAACAGCTAGCGTATGTTCCCCTTCCTCCTACACACTCAGCTATAGTAAGTGAAAGTAGACACGTGATTATTTGTGACCTGGTTTGATATTCCAGCTTTCTGAAAGATGGGCTTGTGAAGATGAAAAGATGGAAATGATAAGAAGTCTCCTGAATTCGGAGTTGGATCATGTGTAAATATTCAGACATAGAATTAGTTATTTAGTTTCTGTTACGGTCTTGCACTAATTAAGTACTGGTTGTACTTTTGAGTTAAAATTAAGAATCAAAGTGTATCACTTTGGTTAGTTTCTTTTTTTAATATAAAGACAATTGTCATTTAATTTGGTATTTTAATACAGCATAAGATGCAAACACATTTATTTGGACCTTTCCAGGTTCAGGAACATTGTTTCAGAGTTAGAGCTGCCATCTGCTCACTCCATAATCCTGGAATTTACCACCGAGCTGCCACAGCTGACACCACCTGTATCAAACCATACAGAGAAATGTGAGAGGAGTGGTATTCAGCAGGTGCCACCCAGCAGTAGAGGGGTGTTCTTGCCACCCCTGGGGAAGACATCTGGCATCATTGGGAAGTGTGCATTGACAAAGGTGGCCACTGAGCCATGCTGGCAGGTACAGGGTTTTACAGGGGTGATCTGACTGGGTCCAGAAAGGGGCAGGGTACTGGGCCCATAGGTCGTGTGCTATACTGAGTCCCCCTGGGAGCAAGGTAAAATTGATTTATAGGGAGGGAGCTAGAATTGGTTTAAGGGAAAGGTGATAGCTGGACCCAAGAGAGAGTGTCAAACAGTCCTTTGGGGGGGGGGGGACTGAATCAGTAGAGATTATTTTTGTTGATATATGGAAAAGGAATGCTGTCCAATAATAGTGATCAGTGTGTGAGTGGCAGGCATTTTTAATACTTTATGAGATCTGTTCTTTGCTGCAATTCAAAATGTCACAGAAAAACATGTAGTTGGTTAATTCACAACCATTAGTGAATTTTCTTTTAATTCATTTTTTTCTTAAAGCATACTTTAATTTTTGTTTTGTTAATGTTACTAGGTAGCCAGCAGTCTGGACACAGATGAACTGACCTCTGTCACAGTGACTGACCTTCCCAGACTGGTGGAGATGGACATGCAGGATACAAGGATCAGAGCTGGACACAGGTCAGTGGGCACGAGTGATACAATATATCATACTAATACAAAATATCATAGTAAAGCAGCCCGCACACGGTGAGCAATTGGCGCGCGCCACTTGCGCTGCGCCAGATGCTCGCGCTCCTCAGCTCCCCGCAAACGCTGCGCTCTTTGCTCAGCAGAGGTGCCTCCCGGCCTGCTCCTATTGGACGCACCGTGAACTGTGGGATCATGTGATTAAGGAAACATTACATATTGATTTTTTTTCTGAAAGTAATGGAAAATGGTGACCACGTTAATCAATCAGATTAACTATAACTGTGTGCATTTTTGTTGACTTTGCTGGGGGCTGCCATTTTTGTTTCCGACTTCCGACTACCGGCACATGCGCATTGTTGGCATGACTTGAGCAATCGGCGCTTGCACCCCGCACACGCTGAGCCATTTGCCTCAAGAGGCCAAAAATATCAAACATGTGAGATATTTTGCTCAGCTGCACAAGAGGCAAAAATCTCACCAAAATACCCCCGCAAACGGTGAGAAAACGGCACAGCGCAAGTGGCGCACGTCAATTGCTCACCGTGTGCGGGGTGCTTAACATAATGTATCATTCTTTCAGGAACTGCTTACTGTCAAGATGTTATGAACACACCAGCTTAGTTTATATTGTTTTTAATTTATGGTCCACAGGCTACTCAAGCTACTAATATTGCACTAAAGTATAAACTACTAATATTGACACTTCATACAGTTCTTGTTCCACTCAGTCAATTTTACCCACCAGGATATGTAATAAATCAACCCAGCTCATGTAATCATCATCTTGTCTGTTCATTGCAAACAAAGCATCCTGGTGATGAAAGTTCATTAGGAAATATTATTGTGAAAAAAATGAAGCTATTTTAAAAACAATGTTATGAAATACAAAACAAGAATACTGTAATTTTGGAGAAAAATGTCCCTAAAGCAGACCAGGTTACTTTTAAATTAGGCATATTATTTGGCTGCACACTGGATTCCATTCATAACTGTGAATCATAAAGGAAATTTGCAGTTGCTATTTTAATTGTTTTTAAATTTGATATATTTAACAGGAAATCCAGATCGTTTTTTCCACTCTCCAAGGCAGAATTTTGTGACTATGCATGGAATCCTAAAGAGTCAGAAACCCGGAAGACATACCAAGAAATTAATTTCTAATCATGGAAGTAAAAGTTCCTCTATCAAGGACTTTCGTTATCAGTATTAACTGCCTGTGTTGGGATTAATTCTTTCGACTGCTTGCAGGTTGTTGACTTTTGTACCGTGATAATATGTAGTAGCTCTTATAGCATTTAAAAAGGACGAAACTGAATTTAAACCAGATTGCAAAATAATAAAAATATTTATTAACACAACTATATTACATCTTATCATTTGAAATATGAAGCTACATAAATTGAAGACGCTTGCATGGCATAACTTGCTTTTGATGTTTTTTTCTTCTACCATCAGACAAATTTTTTTTCTAGATTTTTGCTCAGCAGTTAGGTATTTAAATTGTCTCAATCCACAATACTCCTGCTCTCCAATATGGATATTAACATTAAATTTATATCTACAGAAACAGCTTATGATTGAGTCTTGGCAAAAATGAAGATAATGTTCACTTGCTTCATACTATATAACAAGTTATTTGATAATTCTGAACATAAAATATCGTAATAATATATATACACAGTTATCAAAACGGGAAATATGCACAACCTTTCTTATATATATATATATAACCCCATAGATCTGAGACATGCTTTTATATGGCAGTATTGACAGTACTCAAATAGCTAAAATATTTACTATTAAAAGCTCAATATTTAATAATAATTCAACTCATTAAAAATGACTACAAATAATTTTGATCAGACCACATGACTAAGGAGTCAAATGATTAAAATGACATTCTTATGATTGATCTATATACAAATGGCAAACGATTCAACTATCCCTGTGTAAGGACAATAAAGTTTCACTTGGCAGTAATTTTCCACATGGTTTGTATAGAAACCTTTTCTTCGTGCCTGTGTTATAACATTCTTTTGGAATCTTCCATCTTCACCGGCCTTAACCTTTACTTTGACCAATGTTTGCCTGTATTCACACATACAGCAGAAGACCACTATATTGCCAGCATTCTGGACTAGGACAGGGTTAATAATAGACTCATTATCCCTCATTTTCTTGTAAAAGTCTGACTATGACAAGTTAAATCTCGTGCTGTTCTAAATAGGTCTTTCCATTTACATCACCCTTTTACACAATTCCTGAACATAATTACTTATTTTACAAAACATTGTAGATATTACAACACTGTTTGACTCAAGATCCATAGTGTTGGTGTTCAGTGTATAATAATATCAAAATAATTTTTACTGAATCAAAATTTGTTGTTCTTAGTGTTTAAGAAACCTGATCTTCTACCATAATTGGGAACATGCGACTTTTACAAAAACTAAATGCAACATAACATTTTTTACAGATAATATTCAGTCCCGTAGCCAGGGTTTGAAAGAACCCCCCTTTTTGCTGGGAAAAGGTTCCCTCTGGGTAAAATTTTACCTAAAGGTTTCATGGTGAAAGGTCCACTTTTTCTGAAAAAGACCCCCCCCCCCCTTTTGAAATTGCTGGCTATAGGCCTGATATTACAAAGGCAAATTTGCAGTATGACACGAAATTTGCAAGAAAACTACAGCATCTATCAGGCAGAGATGTGCCCACATGTGTATGACCTTTGAAATAGTCATTGTGACCAGGAATACAAGAAGCCAGGCTGAAGCTGGTATAGCCACCACATTGCACTGGAAGAACAGACACCATACCCTTTAAGCCAGCAGATTGGTTTGTATACAAATTATATAATGAGCTCTATGACAAGTTTGTGTAATTTTCCCATCTGGACATTTCACTTCACATCCTTGGACCTATATCATCACTATGACTATGACTCCACTGCTAGCAGTTTGATTCTTCCACTTTTGACATCTCCATGGGACGAATATCGTTGTAATAGTTTCTATCAGGCAGGTCCTCTGCTGACGCTGAGGATTTGTTTAATTGTCTGTTGTTATTGTTGTTGTGATTATACAGTGGTCTCTTATCACTAAAAGGTCCATTGAGTGGGGTCTCTGGACTTGTGGGACTGAAGGCTGCAAAATACTCTGGATTATCAATGTTCCCAGTTTCTGTGAACACATCATTGTCGTGATTGTCCTTTGGCTCTTCAACTTGTTCTGAAATGATGCATACAAATGCAAATTATTTCAAATCGATTTTCCAGGATACATACAAACAATATATATGTAAAGAATACCCCACAAATCAATTGAAAAAAAAAAGGCTTAAAAAAAAAAAAAGGTGTCATTGAATAAAGGCGACTGTATTTTACCACAAAGCAACAGCAAAAAAAGGACAGGATCCTAGATACACTACCTTTTCCACCAATGAGGTCCATGTAAGCAGCTGGATTGGTGGATTTGGGCTGGAGATAATCATCCTCGTCTACGGGTAACATAGGAGGACGGTCGGGCCGCGATTTCTGCTGCGGGTTTACTGGAGAATCAACTTCATCTTCTGAAAATATTGATACAAATAGGTTAGTTAAAGTTTTATCGGAGCAAGATTTGAAATTGTGGGCAAATGTCACTGGTCTGGGCTACATGTTCATGATGTAATTTCATCTACATAATATCATAAAAGATAAAATCTTCTCTGTTACATAGTAGTTTCTTTCACATGAAAGATATCTGACAATAATCAAGAATCCATGCCGAGACTAGAAGGTAATTGTGTAAATAATTCAGTGCAATCTGAGTTGAAGTGAGATGACTTCCATTTAACTGTAAATATCAACCATATGAACATACACATGCCCTACATGTAAATGTAGGCCTGCAGATATACATAGATCAACATATGTGACATGCAGGTGGTGTCCCATACATTTTGACTCTAGTTGTGTAGGGTGAATATTACTAGACAGCATGACATATCTAATTCACACATATATAATCAGCAAATCCCTATAAGGCATGTCAAAATAATATGGAACTGGATATAATACAATTTGGATACCACATTCACAATAATATATAAAAATACACAGGTCATTGATGCAAAAAAAAAAAAAAAAAGATGGAAATATAAAAAGCAGAAGGCCTCAATTGCACATACACATTATGATTTCTAAGAGGAAAAAATAAACCACAAATACAAATCTTCAGAAAATAGAACATTCAAATAATGTAATGTTTAGAATTATACCAAACAATTCACAATGCTAAGGGTTCTACATAGACAACAGATCTTCTTGGCAAGCATGGGATGTTGATGAAGGACGCTAAGTTTTTTGTGCTAGACCTACCTTCCTTGATTCTCTCAAAGAAACCTTAATACAGGAAAACATCATCACAATACATAGCCAGATAGTCAGAGGAGAAAACTAGTCAAGGCAAGCCTAATAACCTAATCTTGCTTTCTTTCATAATCCACAAGTCTCTAATCTAATGGTACACAGCCTTCTTTCTGCCCTAGTCAAATCTCAATTAGTCTCATTTTTATGGATAATAGAGTTAGTCATAATGCCAACTGGACACTGTCCATTATAACAACCTACCTCTTCCTTTCATGTCCACCAGTAGTTTACAGGGGTCCGAGCTATATCTGGAATTAACACTATTGCCTCGTCCTCTGGAGGCTGCACTGGCTGCCTCAAGGTTGCCATATTTTTTGTCTCTCTTATTTTCAGTATTTAAGTAATCCCCTCTTGGGTAGGCTCTAGCACCTCTGTCGTTGTCGTATGGCTCACTAACAGGAAGAAGTGGTTTCTGAAAAATATAGCTCCATTTTAATGATGGCCTTCAATCTTTCAATCCAGAAAAAAATATGCTCATTTCTCTTATTGTGACTTTAAAAATCAAAGACAACAAATGATGAGAGAAACTCCATTAAAAACAAAGCTAAATTGCATTTCAAATCCTTATATATGTTATCACTCACTGCATATATATATATATTAATTCTACCTCCTCTACAAAAACAAATACAAAAGTGTGTGTGTGTGTATATATATATATATTTCCCCAACCAGGATAAAACCACTCACCGTGATGCCCCCACTGGGAGAGACAGGGGACGTGGGAGACATGGGCCCCTGCTCATTCTCTGTACTGGACCGTGGCATTAAGTAGTCCTCAGCCTCCATGATCTCCTCGGGCCCTTCCGTCCCCCCACTTATGCTGCGGATCAGATCACGCTTGTCGTAGGTATGGCTAGGGAGACGCATCAGTCTGTCGCCCTGAGGGTCAGAGAATGACATCTGATTAATTAAATCTGTCGCATCTTTAAGTAGTTATGCTCCCCTTTACAATTTTACCATTTGCAATGCTGTAGTTTTAAAGGAAATTATATCAGACTTCAGATTCCATATCAAACCTTCTCATCATGATATCATAAGGACACAATGAGGAACGTTTATCATCAACTGGCAAATGGGTGTGTCATATTCTATGCCACAGGGGCATGGACAAGAATTTTTTTAAATAGAAAATATGCTCATTTGAATTTTACCAACTGTTTATCCATTTAAATCTTTATTGTCTGGTCACTGCCCATTGTCAACACAATTCTACTGTTATTAAAAATCATTTCTCTCTTATGGTCTTTTTAAAACAAAATTCAGCACAACAATCTCAATAAATAGGATGTAGATAGGAAAAAAGAGTACTTAAAAAAAACCCAAATATTCTGAACATGATACAACTAAGTTCACTGCAAATATATCAATACAATCTTAAGCCTTAAATCAGACAAGCACAATCCATTTCAAAAACTGCCAAAAGAGGAGAGAAAATACATAATGTTCATCTTCTATGAAAGCTGGAAAGAGACTCATAATGCACTCCAAAAACAGATTTGCCTACATCATCTGTGGCTATCAAAGCCAGGTATTCTGGAGTCGAGTGATCTGCACTGGGGAGGTCAAGGTCAGATTTATGAAGGTCAAGGACAGCTACATGAAGATCAAGTTCAGCTTTATCAGGGTCCAGATTATTTGTTTGAAGCACAAAATCACTATTATTCTCACAGAGTCTTGATCCAGCTGCCAAATTGGAGTAGTCTTTTCCCAGAGGTTGATTAGTCACATGACTCAGGACATTGGGTTCAGGCTGTTCCCCGCATTGCTCCTTGATACTGTCATCTCCCAAGCTTGCATAAATAAGTTCTGAAGCCTGGCCATTAAATATACTTTGTACTCCTGATTTCTCTGACTTGGTCTGTTCTTCAAGTTGCTGATACTACAAAACCATTTGTTTACAGTTCCTACTCATTTAATGGGGACATAATATATCCCTAATATACATCGAAAAAATACCTATGATATATGTGTAATGTAATGCCTATGAGGGGATTAGTCCTGTAACACTGATCACAGCCTGTTTTTGAACCTCTAGTGTAGGTCCTTTTTACCTCAAGTGGTACATTTAACTGGATCGGTCCACTTTGAGAGAGGGTTTTTTACTCCCTTTCACAAGTTCTCCATAGGTTCACTACCTGCTATTTAGTTTATTAAGTGGTTGTGCCGAGTACAGAGGTTCCATTTTGATGACTCTCTTGTGAAATAACCAGGTTATTAAGTTGTCAATCTCTCAAAGTGAACAAGCCCTGTTGAGTGTACTGCTCAATGTAAAAAGGGACATAAATACCAATATTCACATAGCTATGTGTTTAGTTCTTCTCTCATACTTACATGAATGACAAGATATCTGCCTGGGTCCCTGGCCATTTTACTAAATTCTTCATGGAGTTCCTTGAATGATGGCCTACTCTCTGCATCCAACATCCAACCTAGATGAAAAATCATGGTTGAAATCACACAATGATTAACTTCGACACAACTTATCCTAAAAACGTAACAGCCTTAATAATATAAAAAAGTTTGAGGTAATGAAATTATTTATTTCTTTACCTTAATCCCTGCAAATACATTCACAAACCACACCTACACTTACATTTGATCATGATCATATATACATCTATTGTAGCAATACTTGGCTGAGGAAGACGTTCTCCCTTCTCAAGCAAATCTGGGATATCACGTGCTCGAACATTTTCATACGGACGCAAACCATATGTAAGAAGCTCCCAAACTGTAACACCTGTAAAAGATAAATAAGTTGTAAGAAATTGACAACTAGCCTGATTTTTAAAAAAATTTTTATCACCTCTCTGTTAAGACTGAGGGCCTGGTTACATAGGAAATTGCATATCAATTAGATCTGTAGCTGGCAATTTAAGGAGTTTTTGTAAACAATGGACCTTTTTACCCCTTAGTTGTCCGCAGTTGAGAAATGGCATGGAATCTACTAGTACATCAAATTTTGATTCAGAGCATACTTTTTTTGAGCCAAAAGGGCAGTTCTATTGAACCCTCCTCCCCTCCCAGCAGGGGTGTAAATGGATATTATTTTCTTACCATAGCTCCATACATCTGTTTTGTGAGTAAATATTCTGTGTTGAATGCATTCTAATGCTAGCCACTTGATTGGCATCTGGAATGAGAAAACAGAAGACATTTCTTTAGCATCTCTCAGACAAGGCCCTTAAATATTCAAAATGCAAGATATCAATAAAAAAAATGATGCCTTGTTAACTCTTTTCTGGATGATGTAGCACTATGTCAGACATGTTCTGTGCTTTCTGTGTTTTTAAATCCTGATCCCTTCAGCAGTTATAACACGTGGCCATTCTGTTTTACTGACCTTGCCCCCAGCCGCATGGTACTCTGCCTCATTGTAGTCCAGCAGTTTGGCCAGACCAAAGTCTGTGATCTTAACATAACTGGGACTTTGAACTGAAAAAAAAACATAAAAATAAGGAAATAATGGTTACCTTGCTTGAACTTTCCAACTGAAATAATGCTGCAGCAATGAAAAGATAGCTTTTTGCACTACATACATTTTAAACTCTAAACTGCTTGAAAGTCTTTCATCCTTTTATTTTGTCAGTGGAATGGTATGTTATCCTAAATGTCCAATTATAATATGTAAGCAAATCATTCATCACCAGATTCTTCTTGTAATAGTGTCTTAATACAAATGTTGAGAAAAAACTCTCATAGTTATGCTGATTATTTTCCTTACCCAAGACATTTCTTGCTGCCAGATCTCTGTGGACAATGCCTCGCTCTTCTAAGTACGACATGCCCTGCAAATCAAGAAAAGCAGTGAGCATTTGTGTCAGGAGAGCACCCAGAAAGCATGTTATTAGGTGTCAAGTTCTCATGTTTCCAAAAGAGTACATCAACAGTAAATGATAATACATAGGTTTCATATCAACCTCTACCAGGGCTATGGATTGATTTTTCACTACATATTCATAGATATGTGTCTGGCTAATTTATGTCAATTTTCTCTGCTGAGAGAAAGCATTCATACGTGAATATCTAGTGAAAAATCAATCTTTGGCCGTAATTGAGGAAATAAGTTCTTATATTTCCAAAGGGCACAGATGACAGTAAATGACACTGGAAAAGTTTACACAGGTAGTCTAATCATCTGTGCTAATGGGGCCCATATTAACTATACAGCATCTTAGTTTCTAGGACATTCAAATGCACGTACCTTAGCTATCTGGGCACACCAATTGAGCAATACTTTGGACCCTATATTCTGCTTGTTCTTCCTGACATAATCCAGCAAACACCCCAGGGGCATCAGCTGTGTAATCAACATCATCTGCGCTGTCATGCACACTGCAAGAATGCGCACGCAGCATTGATGCTCCACAGAACACATGACACGTGCCTCTTCGAGCAACTCTCTGTTGTGATTGGGCGATGTGCCTTCTTGTAAGACTTTGATGGCAACAGGTATTTTCACATTCTCTCCATCAGGTATCCAGACGCCCTGAAAGACGAGATTAACTTTGTGGTCAGCGGTAACATCTTGGCATTATATGTATTTCAAACACTCTTTGTTTTTTGCCGAGTCAAATTATGAATTTTTCTCAGATATTGATAATTTAAATATGAATTAATCTGCCATTTCTTTGTCTAGCTTACTTTATACACTGTTCCAAAGGCACCAGAACCAATGATTCCTCCTTTCCGTATTTCACACTCTTTAATAAGTCTCAATTTGGAGAGATCTGGAACGGCGTCTGTAGGCGTCAGTGGCTCATCATCTCCATAGCCAATCATCTTAGAGGTTAGTTTAATGGTTGTCTCCTTAGCTTTTTGTCTCTTGTAGCACAGGAAGGCGAGTAAAATGATGCAGATGAGACCAAACACCACACTACCTCCCGCAATGCCAGCAATTTGACCGGTGGCTAGACCACTGGAATAAGGCAAAAAAGATGAGAGGTTAAGAGAAGTGTACACTACTTAATAGAGATTGCACCACAAGTGTTGTAATGGATATGAATAGTAATGTATCAGACATGTTTTGTTCTTTCTTTGACTTTTCATGAACGATAATATAATACTTATATAATATTGTGGAAAAGTACATTACACACTGAAAAATAAAATGACACAATTTTGAAACTAAGCATTTACAGTTCCCGTCTCCCTCAGTCTATATATTTCTTTATTTTACAACTTGTTTATAGCCAACAGCCACTCTTAATCAAAACTTCTTCAAAATCTACTTACATCACAGGTGGCGTGCTGCACACCTCGTCCCCAGCTTCACGTCTTTTGTGAGGCAGATGACTAGGACACTCACTGGAGCAATTGAACTGAAGAACAGAGGGGAAAAAAATGGAATCTGATGGTCAACATAGTGGAACTAGACCTCGTTTATTTAAATTTATATTACTACCTGAACTGCTAGAATCAGTATTTATCATATTTTTCCATTTACTTATTCATCTATTTTGTTAGTAATCCATTTTATAATACCTATGACCCAACAAGTATAATTTTCATAAAAAGAACAGAAATGTATGAATGAACCTGAGAATTATGACCTGTACAAAAACTTGAGGAAGTTTGTTTGTTTCATTTTCTACTTACCATATCCACTCCATTCACAGTAATTCCAAGTGGCACCTTCACATTACTGCAGAAATTACACTGTGTAGAGTTGGGTCCTGTGCATCCTTTGCGACACTCGGAATTGCACGGCTTACAAGTCTTATCATTGTGGTCCTCATAATTTCGCTCAGTACAAGAGACAACACAAAAATGCACAGACATGCTGATGTCTTTGAAGAAGGTGCATTCATTACACTCGGTTGGCAGGGCCCCAAAGCAGGTCTTACACAAGGGATTACATAATTCGCAGGACTGCATGCCCTGGAGCCCATAGGCTGTATTTAAGTGTTCATGGGATGTGACTCTGTGACCATAATATCCTGCTGGACACTGCGGCTGCCCCTTGTCTGATGTAGGGAGGCATTCAGTGACGTTCTTGGTCCTTTTGTCATAGATAAACATCTTGCATTTGGAGCAGCCTCCTGGACCAACAAAGTTCCCAGGACCCGAGCACCTGAATTGGAAAAAATAAAACTTCCACTGAAATTCAATCATTCATGAGTGAGTTAGTGAGATATGTTTAGCTCTATTGAGATAAAGTAATGCAATAAATTAACCTCAGAAAATTTGTTTTCACTCACAGTCAATAAACAAATGAACTTATTCACATTGTATAATTTTAAAAGTTACCCAAGCTTTCAGTCTTTTCACCAAACACTGTAAATAAAATCTTTCTTCTTTCAAACAATACAATATAATAAAATATAATATAATACAATAGAAAACAAGTAATACCCGCTCTCTTCCTGCAACAGAAGACAATTCTCATGGCACTTTTTGCACTCCTTGGTGGTGTTGTCACCATACATGGACTCTGGGCACTCCTTCACACAGTATGGTCCATTCTTATAGTTCTTACAGCTATCGCAGTCCTTGGCCTCTGGTCCAGTACATGTCCTGGCACACTCTGGATGGCAGTAGTCACAGGTGACGTTGTCATCTTTGGTGTATATTCCCAGACTCGGGTCACACGTTGCTAGACACTTGTTCCCAAGGCGTTTGTTAGCGCACTTGACACACTTGTCGTCTCCTGGTCCCCAGCAGCCATCTCGACACTCGGCGCTACACACACGCCCTTCTCGCTCTGGAAGGCAGCAGCAACAAAATATTGAAAACAAATATGACGTTTGGCAAACCTTTCTTAGTTTTTTTTTTATACATCATGTTTTCCAATAATATAAGCATTTTGTATTTCATGTTTTGAAAAATGCTTTTACTGCCATGAGAAATTCTTCCAGGGCCAAGATAATATTTCAAGGCACTTATCTCACCTTTATACATCCATACAACTAACCTGTTCTTACAGTGGTTTTTATAACATATGTATAAATGCTAGTTTAGACACAAGATTGTCTGTGCCTGTTGCCAGATGGTCACCTTCTGAAACCAGAAATTGGCTTAACGACCAGACAAAAATATCAGTTTTAAAGTAGCAGTTTTAAAGTATTGCATCTTCAGCTACATAAATAAAATGACTATCAAATCTACAAGATTGCAGTGATTGACACTGATGTTTTGGGCAAAAATTTGCAGGCATTATTAAGGAAAAACATAACTTAAAAAAAAAAAATAAATCTAAAGGGTTTCCACAGTTGAATGCTGGCGATATGCTACATGTATCTCCAGGACATTCATGTTAGATGGTTTTGTTAAAAATGCAGTTTTCATGTCAAGAATACAGATTACTATTAAAGTGCATCTGAAATTTGAGTTAAAAAAAATCAGCTGGTATGGATGCTACTCACAAGAATGAGCAATTTTCAAACTAATTACAACAACAATTATAAATCACTAGATGACAATTTTTATATAAAAGACACCAGCACACTTTATAACAACTTTGTAATAGTCTTGTTCACAGAAACATTCAAAATAATGATATTCATGTTAATTTTCATTTCTGGGCCAATGGTTTCCAGTCAATTTTGTGGGCATTAAAAATTCCATGTCATAATTTAACATATTTAATACGTATTTTTGGTTATTAAGAATAAGGTTTCATAACTGATAATGACAGAAATACAAAGCTATGTAAACTACTTCACAAAGCTATGTAAACTACTTCACAATGCAATGCTAGTAAAAGCCATTCAAAATACATCTATTTCCATTCCATCATTTATGTATAACATTTAAGCAAAACAGTTGCATCCAAAACAATATTAGTAACATATAAGTTCTGGATTATGACAGTAACTATTAAATACAGTAATATGACAATGCTTGCATTACACATGGCAAGGAAGTGAAAAGGAATTTGGGGGGTGTGGGAAGGGAGAGGGGTGAAATGATGCCACAAGGTTAAAAAACTTAAACTATCAATCCAAACTAATAAAATAATTAAAATTATAAAACTACACCATCACCTGACCTCAGTGATTTCTGTTGTGACCTTGACCTTACACGTCATAATGCCAGCAATATATTATATCCAATATATTAATTTCAGACTGGGTTTGAATCCCAGACATGAGCAGATATCAGATTGACATTTGGCAAAATCCACTGTTTAGATGACAATATTCATGATTATTAAGTAAAAAAAAAATGCTGACATTTTTAGTTCAACCCAAATTCGATTTATTGTGTAAACAGAAAAGTACACTTCAGTCAGTTTGTGTCAAAAAAAATTGCTTAAACTATAACTAAACAGAAGAAAATGACTATGAAAAATAATCATGTTAAGCAAGCAAAAATACGTTTAAAAAAGTTTCAGACTCTGACATGCTTTTGCCTTTTCAGGAACCACTGATACATAGTCCATTTTGCATCCTTCTGGCTACCATTCCTAATTTTGATCATTTGATTATATACCCATTACCAGGCCAGATTGGTCATTGACCAAATTAGGATCATTTGAGCAAAATGTCGTAACTCACTGCCAGGGATTACAATTTCTTTTTTTCAAGAAGACAAGTGTGCATAGCCTTGTGTCAGTGGTCAAACTGCACATCACCCAAGGACAGCAGACTTAGTGAAGATATTATGTGTAAAGATTCAACTGTTGATGAAGACTTGATATCTGTGATTTTACATGTGGGTATATAATAAAACAACTAGTGCTGACAACATTTGAGAATTAGTGGATTTGTAACCCCTTGTGAAAATGTTCCCTCAAGGTTATCAATCCACTAATTACACATTGTATAATTTTAATGTTGACTTCCATTGTATTCTTATCAAGGACACAAAATGGGCTTTTCGTTTGTTTGTTTGTTCTAAACTAACAAATTGGTTCTCAGTGATAACAAAATCTAATATGAAAAAAAAAGTTTCTTTATATTTCACCTGAGGTTCAGCATCAGGTAACAAATCCCTAATGCTGTCATCAAAAATCATTGGAAATATCCAAAGAAGCAGCATTTCCATAACTGCACCTATTGGAGAAAACTTACCACAGGAATATAGCAGATGCATAAAGATGTCAGAGTCTGACTAGCTATCCCTACTTACCACAGGTTGCCTTGTTTGGGTTATCCTTGCCAGCGAAGATTGCATTATCTTTAAGAAAATCCTTCCACTGAATGGTGTACCAGTAGCACAGATTGCTGTTGTACTCCATTTTTATATCGCCATGCATCACTGATTTCAGGGAAACTAAATTCAATGCTCTGAGATTTGGAACATAAATGTCCAGTGCACTGCCTCTGAAAAAGGTGCAACCATGCAAAAGACACGCTAAATAACACTTGAATGCATGCAATAGAGACAGGTTAAAAATAAAAAATAAAAATGAAAATAAAACCTGGAGGAGGTGGAGGAGGTGGAGACAGGTGGATATATGGCTGGGCGTCAAGCATGGTACATGGTCCAGAGATTGACATGCAGACTCACCACACTCTGCCTCTATCTTGTTCTGTTCAACAAAATGGAGACTCTTTGGACCTGTAAGGGTCTCCCACTTTATGGTGTACCAGTAGCAAAGTGCACTGTTATGAGTGATCCGAATCTCGCCACCATTTACCCTTTTCAAAGAACTAAACCCCAGGTATGTCACTGTTTGTGAATATACATCAAGTGCTGATCCTCTGGAAGCAGAAAAAAACAAGCACACACATAAAGACGAGTGTCACCGCCACCTTGATACAGGAACAAGCTGCCAACAAGACCATATTCATATAGAATACTGTGATTAGTAAGATTTCTTTCTTTTTTTTTTTTTTTCTTTTTTCATTATAAAGATTATGATTTTCGTTTTACAAACAGTCTTAAGCAAGTCTGTTTTAAGACACACAAGTATTTAAGTGCTATATCTTCCTCAATAACCCACTTTTATCCTGTAAAAATATAGTAAAAGAAAAGATTAGTTATTAGAATTCACAACCACATTAGTTGTTCAAGCAACAACAGTTATCATAAATTGTTTTGTAGCAGGCTTCATGCAGACAAAAGGACAGTATACAGGTTCTCTGAAGGACAAAACTGGAACAATTTAATTCTCACTCATCATCACTCAGCTGAGTTCCCAACTAAAAACAGTTCATTTTAGGGTCACATTTCTTGTTGCTAGCTTTACAAAATTTGTCACATATTAGACTCTGTTTTTTGGTCTATGCAAATTAAAGAATAGGTATTTGGTTCCAGCAGTGAACCATAACATGGGGATTTTTTGACTACACTTGTGAGAGTCACTGCGTATGCCATACATTCAAACCAAGAAATCAGTATTGTGCCACCATGTCCCACAAGAATTAGATTGATGGCACAGCTTTCACTATAAATGTTCATTCTAAAAACTTACTTTAAAGTGTTCCTAAATACGACTATGGCAAAATTTTATATTGACAAAGTGTAAATCTAAGTGCTGCTGCCCTAATAAGCAGTTACAAACATGTCTTGCATTTCAGCAGCATGTAAAAATGTGATTTTTTAACATGGAGATGCAATAATTTGGCAATGAAAAAAAAAATGCCTTTGAACATTTGTTAAACAGAAAAAGGGTAATTTTAGACATGACACTCCTGTATACTGTCCCTGTAATTCAAACTTGTATTAAAAAGGCACATATTGGTGAGAATCTTGTAACATGGTACACACATACATGACACACACATACATACTCACGTACAAGACATATCTGAAGTTCTAAATTCCATTTTACAAAATAATTGCAGTCAAGAAGTTCACATCACAAAGGAGAGTTTAATTTACTAGAGAAAGACAAAGTTTAAAAAAGAATCCATCTTCGCAAACCAACATATCAGAAGAAGAGGCCAAATGTAAAATTCTTAACTTCAGATGGAACAAGCAAATATCCTGCACCTCCCCAACAGAGACATTTCAACTTATCTTTACATCATCCTGTGTTTTTGTTGTGCTTATATTTCATATTAGGCCCATGCCAACAAAGGCATCCAGACCTGTTGCTGGTGTATCAGATACTGGTTAGATCTGAGAGACTGGCTAGGTCTCAATGACTGGTTAGGTCTGAAAGACTGGCTAGGTCTGAGAGACTGGCTAGGTCTGAAAACTGTCTGTTGCATTGTCATAGGGGATTCAGACCTAATCAGGGAATCACCAGTTTTCACAACTATATTCTTAATCTAATGAACTGATGGTAGACAACAGGTGTTTGCTCCAAGATTTCAATTTCTCAGTAATACATGCACATAACTGTGACAATATTGTAAAACAATTTTTAGTTGATTTACTATCCAGAATTCAGAAAATTCAATTCGTAATCAACCCATATTGTTAAATGGAAGACTATCTACCAAATCATAATCCCTAGATTCTGAGTCCTTTTACTTGGTATCTCTGCATATAAAATAAGAGAACCATAACTATGTTTTCCCAATACTGTTTTTTAAATTATTTTTTAAATGCATATATGCATATACTTTTTTCTTATATAAATTTTATACTTTTTGTTCAAAAAAGCCTTTGAATGTTCCTTATTAGTGAGTAGCATTTCTAAGTGTGACAGCATGAATCAAAAATAATTTTCTATAATGCAACCCTGACCAACTTACAAATATGTTTTTGTACTTTTGATCTTGACAAAGGGTTAAAACTTTCACTCAGATTACACTGTTGATAAGGATAGCTCTAACATTAGTCTAGAGCAGAGTCTACTACAGTTGTATTAGTGAAGCCATCCCTTTGGCAGCTACCAAGCTTATAGCCATCTTTAAAATGTCACCAAGAAGCCTACGGGGACCTGTAAGGAGCTGCTTTTAACATCAGAAGGGTTTAATGTGCTCTTTTAAGGTTAGATATATCATCTACTGAATGAAAGGTTGTCAGTGAAGCTTAGATCCTGCACTCAGGCATGAGGAACATGCCTTTGCTCTTCTTCATGTTAATAAGATCTCATTACAACAATTGGTGATCACATTTCAGAGGACAGATTTCCCCAAGTAGTTCATCTATGATGTTTATTTAACCTGTAGATGATGGTGTATGTATTGATTGTCTACCTGCTAGGGCACATTACACTGCCAGGGTGAAGCATTATAGAGTAACACATAGAAACGGATTCGTGCAGACATTATACAAAACAGAAGTTGAAATTACCTCTGTGGGACTCCTAATGTTGCTTTACCCCCCCTGTTGTGTGAAGGGAAAAATAAAAAACCAAAAAAATGCAAACAATTAAGAACAAATGCCATCAAGCAAATAACATAAATCCAAATTTAAAACAAACCTGTTAGGTTTACTCTATTCATAACAAAAATTAGTTTATTCAAATGCATCAAAATTCAAACCACAAAACTGAAACATTTACAGATGAATGCACGTCTATAAGTAAGTTTATGAAGATTATCAGTGATCCAGCAGGATTTAGCAAATTGCATTAATATTGCTGGATTTACAATGTCAATATAAATAATGAAGACCAGAGAGAATTCTCCTCACATGAACTTCTCCTGGTTACTCATGTTTCACCCAATAGAAATATTGGTCCTTAACACATCAAGTGATACAGTTATCTGTAACTTCCTATGTTGAGGGATTGACAACTTTAAAGCCAGCTTGCGGCGTAGCCAATTAACCCTATTATATTTGATGGTACAGTGGGAGTTTGGGCCAGTTAAACTGATGTGGTACAGAAAACTGTACCGCTGACGTGAAAAGGACCTTCCTTTATCTCTGCCGAATACAGGCATTGTGCACTCTGTACGCCGATAACTACACTGATCAGATAAAACATCATTGATCAGCTCAAGTCCATGGGAGGAGTACTCTATGCCATCACCATCATTATCTTCAATGACATAAATTAAACATACATGAACTGAATGTATATTTTATTTATTTGTTTAAGTATTTGCTATTGTTCTTTCATTAATAATAAAAATGATTGTCTTTAAAGATATGATTAGATATATTTTCATTTTATTTTATCACACCATGTACATTAAAAAAACATTTACTTTTAAATGAATCATCATTATGCAGTTAGACTTGACACCAAATCAGGGAAACAAAAAACCATGGTTCCTTAATTTCCTATGTTATTGGTGATTGAACTAAAACAGCCCTTTGTTTTAACCTTATACTGTAATTGGGATATTTATCTAAAATAAAAGAAACATAAACACCTTGTGTACCCTCTCCCATAATATCTTATCATCAAGGCAAAAACTAATTGCACTAAAAAGGTTTGTTAAATAAACAATAATGTGTAATTCCTTTCCACAATGTTTCTACCCACTCATCCCACTTACAACTGACAGACAGACAGACAAGCATATCAATTTGATATAAAAAATTCAAGCTTCAATAAGACCAAATAAATCCTGAAAGACAAAACAAATAAACCCAGTCCATGCCAAAACCTCCGGGTGACAGGGAGGGGGAGTGCAGGGTCATAGGTCAGGGGTCAGAGGTCAGGTCAAATAAAATTGCTGCATTACCATTATAACAGTTACATTAGTAACATTTTACTTCAAAATCAAACTTAACTGAAATCGAAATAACCATTCTAATTGTCTACTATGCAGTTACATAGTATCTAAAACAGAACTGTCTAATGCCAAACAAAACATGTGCACTATAAATGGCCTGATCAGCAAAGCTGGAAATATGCAGATACAAAAAGAGAATATACTTAAGAGAAATAATATCGTATTGCTTTCTGATATTTCTAAATTGACCATCTGCCTGGAAATTCAGCTTTGTATGAAAAGAAGACAGACCAGCTTGTTGCAGTCATACCTCTTTGTCAACTTACAGTAACAATAAATACAGATGGACAAAAAGGGTATATACAGACTATTGCGTATCTGCATATAAAATTAAGAAAAAATGCAAACAAAATGGTGGTTTCAATGGCAAATTTGGCAGAAAACTGTTTGCAACTTAAACAATTTTGTGTTTCCTGAACGTGTAAGTCTCTTGAACAAAATTTGAAACATCCATTTTATTCAAACTTATAAGTGGCGGCATGCATGTTATACATACGTATGTAACTCCCTGCCATGGATTATCTCCAAATTTCTGAGAAAGGCTAGACTGGTGAGGTTTGGACTATTAGACTGAATCAGGACATAGTGTGTCACTTCTCGAACTTGACTTAATGCCTCCAACTGCGAGGGCGACATAGGTGGTATATTGTTGAACATGTCCCTGGAAGACAATATCGGAGCCATAGCAAAGAAATCTTCAAGGGTATATACCATCCACATTTGAAAATGTCCTAAAGTTATTTTTCTTTTTCAATATATCCTGCAAAGCTACTATCTTTTCCAATTGAGATGATGTAATGGACATATCAACCTCTGTGCGAGGTCTGATGAATGGGAAAGATGTTAGTTAAAAATTACACTGAGAGAAAAGATGTAAGAACAGACAAAAGGCCAACAATCCCATACTGGTATGAGAGAGAGAGATAATATCACCTTCACACTTACCCATCAATAGTCGGACTTAATATTTTCAGATTTCCTTCTATAATGGTGCATCCATTGAAACTGTTTATATTTTGAGAAGTGATGTATGTATCCCCTGTTCCATTACAACCTAAATAGTGGAATGAACATAAAACCATTTGACTATGAAATTTAACTAAAACATTAATTTGTGAAGTTCAATTGAAATGTTGCTGATGTGTACTCAGAGTAAATTAATTAACTTCATACTTAATGGAGTTATAGAGTTTTTGATAGACCAACAAAACACATTTAACCAGCTATTATTATTATTATTATTATTATTATTATTATTATTATGGTAAAATGTGCTCATCTAGACAATAGCAGTCTGGCAGAGTAACATCCAAAGTGTTTTTCAAATCATGACCAGAAAAGCTCTTACTCTTGGGGCACGGTCCTTTACAAGGTTCACATTTACGGTTGTTGGCTACTTTTCCTTCTGGACATTTCTTTACACAACCTGACTGGTCCATAAGAAGATGATCTAAAACATGACAGTGGGCATCAAAATAATGAACAAATCTGTACACAAAATGATATTATAGCATTTGGCTTAGCAGACATTCAAACACAAGCATGTAATTCAACTAATTTGGGTTTTAATAATATTACCTAATGGATTTATCAATTTATGTTTATGGGGCTTTTCAGACTGATCTGATTTTCACTGCCAAAATCAGTAAACAAAATATGCACACACACACTCAGACAAATGATTGCATGTAAGCAGCCACACGCACACACACACACAGAGGCCTTTATTATACACGTACCTGGGCACTCCTTTACACATAAGGATCCATATGTGTACTTAAATTTTGGGTTGTCCACAAATGTAAATGTCTTTTCATCATATATTTGACGTTGAGGGCAGTAAGGAACACATGCTCCGTCATCAAGAAAATGTCGGCAGGCCTGGTAAGTCAGTAAGTAGTATGTTAACAAAGAACATGAAAGTCAGAAATGTAGCTGTTTGCAAAAAATATGTCATTATAAATCTAGACAAGAGATCATTTTACTTTCACTTTATGAAGTGAATAAAAATTTTTTTTTACCAATTAAATATTATACAGTAAAATTTGCTGAAAGGTATACATAAAATTGTGTGTCAACATGAACGTTTTCTGTCTGACCAACAAAACATGTTAAACACACGAGGGGCCTTCTTTGTCATGACATTAAAATGCTTATCTGCAGCAATACCCACAGAATAAAAAAAAAGCTAGAAGTGATAAACTAAACTGTTTTGAATGCTGCTTAAGTGTTAAACTAGAACCATCTCTTAAAGTGATTAATTCCTCCAATGCCACTTTATCAGAGAAGAAACAAAACATGGAGGAGGGCAGAAGTAAAACAATATAGCATACACAATAAGCTTAGGTCCTTTTCACACAGATTGGTACTACTCAACAAGACTGGTCAACTTTGAGAGATTGACAACTTACAGCCAGACTAACACCCCATTTCCATAGATTTTTAGATCCATCTATCCCTGTGGGGAGTCTCACTAGATTACTGTCAGCTTGGCCGGCTTAAACGTCTGTCCCACCTACTAAAAGCTGTAAGGGAGTAATTAACTATGGTGCCCGCTCGGCTGACTGCAATTTAGTGTGAACCCCCTGGGAGTTAGTTCAATCTAAAACTTAATCTTTAGATCGATCTAAATCTCTGGGAAAGCACCCAAAGAGCCACCTAAACAGAGTACCACCACCTTTCTCCTATGCTTGGCACAACTGATTAATTAATTCAACTAAACAGCAGGAATGGAACTTGTGTAGAACTTGTAAAAGGGAACAAAAACCAGCTGTAGGGTAATTATAATCAAGGACCTCTCAAAATAAAAGTGGACCGGTCCAGTTACATGTACCACTGGATGTGAAAGGGACCTCTACCAGCACTCACAGTACAGTTTTTGTTGGTTGGTCCTGTACACCCTCCGGCACACTGGTAGTGACAACATTCCACTGGGCCGCTGCCATAGCAACTGCCATCACACTGGGGGGCACACTTGATGACTGCAATATAAAAATGTGAAATTGGAAAAAAATAATAATAAGTGAACTTTTTAGAAAGTGTGCTTGATGCTTGCTATACAGATTGACAATACATGAAGTATACTGACACTCTAATTTATATTTTATCTGAAAGCCTATCATATATGTATGAAGGCAAAAGTTTATATTCATGTGTAAACTTAGGCAAATTTCACACACAAGGTACTTAATCATACATAAAAGGTAAAAATACACATTTCTTCACATGTCGTATATGAATCAGCACACATATGATTTGTATACTGTATACCAACAACAGAAAATTATCAGAAAGGATTTTTCAAAGTTACTATATAGTTGTTGCATAATAACCAACTTAGTGGTAATACACAAAGTTCTAACAAAGACCCCTCCAAAACATATTACCCTCGGAAATAGCTGGAGAGTAATATTCAATTTCCCTTGGTACCTAGCCCAGGAAAATACTCTGTGATTAAAATAAATGCCCTAGCAGCAGGTATTATGTACCTATATGACCACCTCCCTTCCTAATTACAACAGGACATGCTGTTGCCATGAAAATTAATTTCCATAAATGCCTTGATAGCATTATGTACTAAGATTCTTTTTATTGCCCTGTTCCCACTCACAGATGGACATCCAGCCACTATAACCACAAGAGGAAATTCAGTGCTTAAATGTAATAAATATTCATGGTCACACTAGTCTGAACTTAATACTGCTCCATTATTCATGCTGTCCCCTGGTCTCCATTTTGTCTTCTCAGTGTTATATCATCAAAGATCTCCCTGGGACTTTGATGTAGTACAGTTACCTGGATAACAGTTAGAACACAGAGAGAGACACCTCCCTACCTTATTACAATAGGAAATGTGCCAACAAATAAACATTCTTTTCTAAAATGCCTGGTGTGCCACCTTAATTAGATAACTGGAGCAGGATGGCCACTGAGGAGACATACCAGAATGCACTGTTAGGCCTCATAAACGATATTGCTGCTTGGGATCGCGCGCCTTGGATTTGTGAGCAGGTTAAAGGTTCAAGTTAGCAAACAGCTAATTCATTTATAAGACCCAACTGTATACCAGTTTGTCGGCACTTCTGTAAAAACTGACTTCAAACCATCACTGATCATGGGCCCTTTCTGATCAGGCTATACTGAACAAACAATAAAATCAAACAAACAAACAAACAAGGAAACAAAAAAAAAATAAATAAATAAATAAATAAAGGAAAAAAATAAAAAGAAGGAAGTTTCTCTCCACTGTCATGGTTTACCCTTGGTTTTCCAGTGTCATACCACCATACAACACCATATGGTTTTTTTATGCCATTATTAAAACCACCAGTGGTAGGATTTTTTTATATCAAAAGTATTACTTTGCAGGAAATATTGAGAACTATAATATTTTCAAAATACACTAATGAGATCTAAAGAACCCAAATATGTCTCTTCCCAAAGACATCCTATGGGTGATAACTGATGTAAAAAATGCTTATCAGACAGCATAATGCCACCCTGGTCTATGAATTCAGGATGATGCCAGTTATCAAACCTGCCTACTCTTTTAGTGAGGTGACAGAAGGCCCAGCGTCATCCCTAGGCCATCATAATTAATGAAGGTCACCAAAGCAAAGTTGCTCTCACAGCATATATATATAATCTGCATACCAGGGTCTGCCTAATACTCTACAACATGCTATACTTACATATTCCCCAACCGCAACTTCTTACTAGGACATTATACACATACATGTAGCCCCCCGAGACAGCACTGGGGAAGTTATTTAGATTCACCCAGTCTGACATGTAAACCACTTTTTATGTATATGTTTTATCTTACGTTGGAGTCAAAATGGTTCAACTATTACAGTGAGGGTTTGTTTTCAGTCTGGAGATTAAACTAACAAACAGGAACTTCACGTCTACGCAGAAACAGCCATCAATTTTAAAAAATTTCACTTAATTTGTAGAATAAAGTTGGAAGAGAAATGGGGTTGGAACTGGTGGAAAAAAAATTTTATAAGTAAAACTAGATCTTAGTAGGATTAAAGTAAAATAATTAATGTGAGATGCCACTTTAAGAAGCTGTCATGTGTAATAACTACTTTTATATGCAAAAAGAATCTTGCCACTGCAAAACTAGTTTTTAAAATAGTGTTTGTAAAAATAGTGTGCGTATGTGTGTGTGTGCATGCTTACATACCTACGTGCATGCATGAGTGCGTGCATGCATCTGTACGTGCAAATGCATAAGAAGCCCGACCATGATATGTCAGGTCTTAATTCATGACTCTTTGCACTAACTGAGAGCCTCCCTGCTGACAGTTACCTTCCACCATAATTAAATTTGCATAACTACGTGGATAATGTGACATCCAGAGTCAGGGAGTCAACATTTTACAATTTCATATCCCAACTAATTGTTTTTGTGTTCATAACTTCACCTGACGCTTGCTTCTCAGTTTCATCATTCTGGCAGCTTAATTAGAGTATTGTGTTTTCGAGGGCATTAGCTCCAGAAGATGAAAGGAACAATATATTTCATTTCACTTCCGCTGCTAATGAAATAATGTTTTCTAGTTTTCTGCATCCTGTCATTACAATTATAGCTAAATGTTACATCCATCTGCCTGTGTCTATTGCTGTGCTCTGCCCAAGGCAGCTATCACCATGCTTTTATGTCCGAACTTGTCCTCACACAGGGCAGGGGAAATTACACTAAAAAGAAGACTTCAACATATTCAGAAAAGGAACATAAAAAAATTAGAAGCTATTGTTTCTTTTTTTTAATTATGTAAGAAACTGCTGCACCATAAGTTATTTAACTGGCACTATTCACTTGTTTCTTTTAAAATAAAATCTATGCTTTTACTCAAGTTGGGGCAAGTTAAGGGATAAAAACATCGACTTTCTCAGAATTTACCCATCTATGGGATGTGCTTTTTGGCCTGCTCCACATAAACTCGAGTCCAGTCTCACAAACTTCTGTACAACTTCACAGGGACTCTCACTGAGCACAATCAGATTAACAGGTCTCCTCTTATTTTCAACATACTCATATAATCACAAGCTTTTCTGTATTCTCCTCAATTAACTGATGGTTAATCTGATTGCATTCTGGGGGTCCCTGCAGATTTGGATCGATCTACATAGAACAATAGTTGCATTGGGAATGCGCCCATAGACATCTAGCATCTTTCACACAGCAAATCCACTGTATCAATCAGTTAGCCTGTAACCTTGCTCTTGCCTTAAGTGCACACTTGTAAGACAGTACTGAAGTGTTTTCTAATGGCAAATAAAGCCATCTGGCATAATACTACAGTGCTGAGTGATATACTTTTATCTTGCTATTGGAGGAGCAATTAAAAAGAGATGGGAGGGTTATGTCATAGAGATAACCAGTTAGGTTGAAGCATTTTTAAACTAGGCACATATTGGTTACAGAGTAGAGCTTGATAGGTTCTTATATTCTGTAATTATACTCACACCTTCAAAACAACTGCAAATAATACATAATTAAAATAAAGCCATGAATTTCAAGAGCCGTGCCCTGTCCTGTCCCTAGCTGTGTGCTCAGCTGCAAGGCTCAGACACCAAACATATCTCACAAAACTGACAGAATCCATTGATCAAATCTTTTCATTATCTTATCAATTTCCTGCAGTGATGCCTTGCTTGAGTATTTGATGATACCTAGATCATGGCTCTTCCTGTCATACAGCTCTTTAGCCTCTTTTAACTATGCAATTTCATGAAGCTTTCTCTAACACAGCTGTGTTTGTCAATCCTCATCCATGCATATAATATTAATTCTTTGAAATTTCATTGATATCATTTATTGCTATCGGGACAGGCAAATCAAAGAGAGTGGACAAGCAAATTTTAAAAAGTGCAATCCTAAGGATCAAACATACAAAAATGGAATAAATGCCCTTAACAGTAATTAATGATACATTTTTTAAAGAGAAAAAAATCTATATTTACTTCTCTGGCACATATTTGGTCCTGCTCCCCAGCAATGGCCCTCACAGGAACGATGACATGATCCGCCTAAAAAACAAAATTAAATGGAAAACATCAAATGACCATCATTTATTTTTCTCACCTTCTAATGGCACAAAATGGACAGTAAACCTGGAAAAGCCATTAAGTATGATTGGAAGTGCAATCAGGGGTGCGGACTGATAAAGGAAATTGAATTTTTTGTGTCACTTTATGTTTCAAATAGGAAATGAAGGTGGTGGTGGTGATATCCAGCGGCGTGATGCCTGACGATCTACCTGAGATGATCTCCATTAGCCATCAAAACAGGTGCGTCCAATTGTGGAATAGATGAACTTTTTGGTATCCATCAGGTAAAGATATAAAATAGTTCAGATTAAAAACAGCTTTCCTTGATGCTTCTTATGCCAATCATTGATCAGCTATGTCCAGGATGGGTACAAAGAATGCTATACAGTACACAGACACCCACCCCTCCCCCCTTCCATTTTTCCTGGTGTTGCCCACATAATCCAGCAACTTTTAAAACTCGCTTCAACACATTAAAAGGAAGGTATCTTTCAAAATGAAGTGAATACGAATCCCTACAATTTAAATATGTACCAAGAAGGCCAATTTTGTGACTTAATAATTAAGAAAATAAATAAACAAATTTTCGAAAACAACCCTTTGGTAAAGGTGAACATGTTTTGTGATTTAAAAAAAAAGCTTTAAAGAATTTGGTTTTGTGCTGGAAAAAAAAAAGAAAATTGTAACTGATAATGGGGAAGGGAGGGGGTAACATAAAGCTGATGATGACTGAATCACATCTTCAATTGCTTTGGGCTGGATGATGGTTTGGTAGTTACCTACCATCAGAATGTGCCGAGGGCAGGGGATAATCTGAAATATTGATCTCAACTGAACAATGCTTCCTACTCCAATATTTTTAAAGCAAATATAAAGTAAGGGCAGATGGCAAGGATAGGATGAGCTGCAAGGGCTGCGATCTTGCTGAGTAATACAAGGTCAAAAGCGAGCACACATATGCCACAGCTTTTCAGTGCAGTCCACCATGAATGCAGGAGTGTCCAGCCCACACTGTTGTGCTGAATAATACTCGTGCTTTTTTCACAGAAATAACTTGCTCAGTGTTTCCTGTTTCTTACCTTTATCAAAATTAATTGCAATGCAAGCAAAATAGTGAAACCGAAATTATTACATAAACCACATGAAAAATCACTTCATGTTTCATGCAGCACTAGATGAGGGTTTGCACTTCTGGTGCAATGTATAATTCATAATATCTATTCAGACATCACGCAAGAAACACACTTTTTAGGACCAAATTGGAAAGAGGTAAATCCTCATCTGTTGTCCTAATATCTTTCAAAACCTGACTGTGAATAAGATGTGAAGAAGTTTTTGGTGGTCATGTAACAAGACCATCAGACCTGGGTGAGGGCACAATTTAAAGCCTGAAGGATCAATTTCAGACAAGATGCAGTCATCTGCCAAAATATTTGAATAAAATCTCTTGTGATTTTTCTTAGTCTATGCAGTTAGAAGTATTAGGCATAGATTGGCTTTGTCTGTGAGAGTGTTATCTCACCCAGAAAACCAGCCAGATTGCACCTGGAGATACAATAATATTAAAAGAAAATAGTTCTTTAACTAAATTTTTTAACTTCAAATTCAAACACTTTGCAATTGTCAATATTTTTTTTAGATTGTACATAAAAAAAACTTAAATTATCTTGTTATAATTTTAAACAAATCACTATCATTTAAAGATTAAAAATTACAATATTTCATCGTAGCAGAAAATGTAAACAAGAGGTGGTTTTTATTTCAGTCCTACTTACAAGATCTCCCTTTGGCATCATCATCAACGAAGACCTGACTGCCTTCTCCTGTTACAATCTTGCCATTCCAGACCACTGTATTCTCATAGCACAGCAAGGGGTTCTTGGAGAAGTACACATCCCCAGCCATGATTTCTACAAGAAGGACAAAATATGTTAGTATGATATCTGAGAAAACAAGCTAAGGCCAGTTAGAGAATCAGACAAAACCCTGTGTATAATGAAGGTCCAGTAAAAAGAATATATCCTTGCCACAGCCCAATGAAGAATCTTGTGCATTAGTTTTTATGTTTGCTTCACAAATACTGATTTATTATCATATCATATCACAACACACAACTATACCTATCATATCACACCACACATCACATATATTACATCACATACCATATCACATATCATATAATGTCACCTATCACGCAGTCATAAGATACTGCATCACATTGCACCATATCATATCACCTATTCACACTGCCTACTACATCACTTCAGCTATCACACTGTTTATCACATAACATTGTGCAGCACCACATCACATTGCCTATCACACTGTACCACATCACATAATGATAACATCTCACCTATCTCACCAAATCATAATGAATGCAATTATCATGAGATTTCAACCAACTGATTCTTCTAAATAAAAAATCTAAGTTCCCCTTCTGTTTAACTCATTGTTGCTCAGAGTATAATTATCATTTCAGGATCACAATTTGAAAAACATCACTTACCATGGAGATTCACAAACCGTAGTTCCTTCAATCCAAACATATCTGAGTTACTGGGTTTGCTGTTCAGGGCCACGTAGAGACTGTAACCCCTGTTATTTTGATAGTATAAGGTCTTCCCGCGGATCACACGCAAGTTTTCCAGTGGGACATAGTTTGCAAATACTGACACAATTAACACATAGCCTGTCACTTCACGAATGTGCTTCAAAAAGCTCAAATCATAAGGATGATCCAGTTGCGGGTTATCCAAGAAAGTGATTTCTAAGTTTCCCTGCACATAAGTACAGTTCATGTAGCGTTCCCTATATAAGTTGTAGCGATAAATCGCATCGCCTTGCATACTCAGTTCATATTTTGTCCCTATGCAAGCTGAAAATAGAAAGAGAAAATGTCTTGTTAATATTCATCTGACTTGATCAAATTGTAAGCAAGATCATTAAAGTGAAGTAATGTTGCCAAAATATTTTTGTTTTGATGTCTGTTAACTTTTTCTTTTTAATAAAATTTTCAAGAATCAATGCCATTTATTTTTTTTTTAAGGATATCCACATGGTCATTTAAGTCATGTCAACATGAAAACCCAAGGTTATTTTCATGTGTATCTTATATATTCTCTACTAATTCTATATCCTTGACATACATATATATGTACATACACATTACACTTTTATTTTTAGTATTTATATATACACATATATACATAGCTTTTATTAAATTTTATAACATAGTATGATACTTCAATGTTTTGTCATTGTATGCATCTGCAAAATTTACAATTAGTTCTAGACATATATTGTGCTTAAACTGTCCTCTTTAAAATTGCATAGTCTATAACCATATAATTATCTCAAATTTTAATATTGACAACTTCATGAGAGACAAATTCTACAGGAATGTCTTTGGTTCCAATGAACCTCACCTGCCAATTCCAACACAAATCAGAAATAACAGCAAACAAAGAATTTGTTTTTTTTTAATTGAAAAACAACTACCACAAGTAATTAAGTTCTCCCAGGCAGTCTAGTCTATTGTTGTGATAAGATAAAACCACATGGTTAGAAGACACCATCAGTGTAAGGTGTCTTGTCCCAGTGATGTTATCTCCACACTTCATCTGTATTCAAGTTAATGTCACCAACTACACATTGATGGGCATAATGATATAAAAACTTGATGGTTAGATAGGGACCTTGTATAATGACTAGAGAAGTCACTGGCTTGGAAAAGAATCCTCAGATTTTCCGGGATACTAGGCCAGGTCGGCTTCACTATCCAAGAGATGACATTAATAAGGCCAAAGCTAAGGGAAAAAATTGGCAGTTAAAGGTTGTCTGTCTATCTTAATCTATAAAAATACTAATTCACTGACAGTACAACTTCTAAGGTATATGAAAAAATGTTCTTTAAGTTCTCATTACATCAGTCCACAACATACGAAAAAAAAAGTTTGCATTCCTTCTAATACAAGTTGGATGTCTAACACTGAGGAATGTAAAAGAGCTCGGGAAGAAGTAAGAGGGGGAAAGATCTCCAGCGGGTTGTATCATTTATTCAGCACTGATATGAAGTGAGTACACTGAAACCAACCAGGACCTGAGCTAATCAAGTCAGGTGCTCGTATGCTGAGCTGGATATATCACCTGGTAGACCAAAATAAATCAGCTCCAGACTCTGTGTCTCCTCTGATGTTAGCAAGCCAAGTCATCATCATGTCCTCCATAATTAATAGCTGATTAACTACAAACTGATTTGGAGCACTGCTGAGGAGAAAGATAACACATGGCTCCTTGGTCTGCATATAGTACCAATTAAATGTGAATGTATATGTAATTAATATGGCACACACACACACACACACACACACACACACACACACACACACATGTGCACACTATCATGTAAACACATGCATGCATCATGATGCAAACACCATCAAATAAAAGATTTTTGTTGAAACACACACACACACACACACACACACACACACACACACACACACACACACAGTGTGAAAGACAGAATCCATGCAAGTCCGGTGCATTTGTCCAAATCTAACTTTTCTGTACAGACAAGAAAACTCCCTTTATGTTTTAACTTGCTGGTGAAAGAACATGTCTGCTTTGACTGATGCCTTCCCTTCATTCCACTTACTGTAACTTATTACTTCCGAGAAGCAGCACTCATTTCAGCTTCTACTGGATTCTGCACACTATTATTGTTCATTTACTCTAATGGTCAGTTGATTTATAGATTACGGCCACAGTGTACTGACCACAAAATGATTAGAGGTGAACTGGGTGGGGCTGTTATGGTAGTCTTATCTTATAAAGGAATAAACTGCAAAAACTGGGAGGGAAAAAAAGAGTAAAACAGGTCTGTGTATTTTAAGGATTCAGGTAACTGAAATAACAGATTTGATAATTAATTTGTTCGAAGGTGTTTCAATTTTGCACTTGAATAATTGCACCTGTCTAACAGAGATACTCAAAAAGAGCTTTTCCATATAACCCGAAAAGGAAGCAAATAATACTTCATTTGATACATTTCTTTCTTAATTATATATGATGTAAATATGGCATGCTTAAATAAAACTTGAAAAGTTCATTAATTGTGTTTAAAATGAAAACTGAGATCAAGCACAAAGGTGATGAAAGATGCCACCGAGTTTTCTGAAGGGAATTCAAAATTTATTCTAGGGAATATGAATATAATAGCATAAGTATGGTTGTATTGTTCTGTATGAACAGTGGAAAAGGTAAAGTTGGCATAGGGCATCCTGGGAAAAGTAAAGAAAATATCAAAAGATCAGAATCTGTTTCACTGGAGTATTTCTTATCAAAAGTTCACTCAGTGTGCCTTCAGGTTTAAAATGCCAGCCTCAGAATCTCCCTCACCAGTAGTATTAATACTGGACTGAACAATGCAAATAAGTACCAAATTGTGCAAATATGTGACAAAAATAAAATATTTATTCATATGTTGACAGAAAACTTAGCTCTCAGTGTAAATTAAAGCTGTCACTGAGCAGTCTAATGGATGATGTTGTTGTTGAAGACTCTTCAATGCTGTAACCTTATTTATATTTAATTACAAATGGCACGAGACAGAAAATAAATGTTGATTCATTTGCACGCATCCCTGTGCTGATTTCATAAAATCATTCCAACAGCATAAAAGGAATACGTTTTCATATTTACATCCAACACCTCTGTAATTCATAACTTGATAATAGACAAAAAAGAAAGTTGACATGAACCTTGGCTCGTTTCCATTTGTCTGCCAAGACTATGAAAACAAAATTACCTTTTTCACGTTAAGAGCCTAGTATCTGGAAATATTACAACAATCTATTTTGAAGTCAGAACCATCCCCAGCCATATGAGCAATACTCAACAGTGTTTCACTAGTAATGGGCCAGGTAGGAAACATTCCATTTTGATACAGCAAAAGCACACCTACAGACATTTGAGATTAAGTGCAAGTGAAAAAGAGCCCACACCTTGAAAGATACAAATATGTTTATCTATGAGTTTAAGCTTTCCAGTATTTCCTCAAACTTTAGCATCTACCTGTACCAGTCCGACTGAGAGCACTCCTCTGGGAAACATTCCAAGAAAAAAAAAACAGCAAAGTTGTTCTGTACCACTTGTACCCAATAAACACAGTAATGGAATATGTAAATAAACTCTGGAAAAAGCTGAAAGCTCAAGTTTATCAGATTTCTAGGTAATTACTTTCTACTCCATTATCATTTGGAGTATGAGCTCGACTTGTCATAATGATTAACTCAAAAAAGAATCATAAAAAATATCACTTTTGATGCTTTGTAGTGTAAAATTGTGAAAAGAAATTACTAGTCTAAATATATCCCTGACTCTATACTGATAAAATTGGACTAGAAAAGAGCTTTGCATCAAGTGCTTTTATGTAATAAATTTTCATTATAGAGGAAAAGTCAACATATAAGAATTCTCACATTATCTATGTAAGGACAACAAGCACCTGCTGATATTTCTTATGGGACAAGTGGCTCTTTAAGTTAAATATGGAATCCTACAACATGATCACCCCAGCTTAAGTGGCTCCTATGATAAAAAAAAAACTTACTAGTATGTTTGTACATACCAGAATGTCCCTTTTTATTTAAAAGAATTCGGGTGATAATAAATGTCATTGTTATAGGAAGGAAATAATCAAATAATGATCTTAAAAGACAGCACAAATTTCACTGTTTTGACATCTTAAACTAACACGTTTTCCCCCAGCCAGCCCTAGATTGGAGTCCATCCAATAAGCCAGGTGCACTATTGTTCTCTTTGTAACATTCTGAAATATTTTAAGATGCAGTTCTTTCACACACTATCTGGGCATACAGATATTATATTCTACTGCAGTATTGGATGCACCAATGGGAAAATTGAGCTAGAATTTGTCAACGTTATCCCTCCCTTCACCCTGGTCCTCCTTTGTCCCCCAGACCCTAGGCACGTGTAATTCTGCATCATTACCTGTGTACAATTCCCCCATCCCCCTGGGGGGCACCGATAATGGGACAGGAGCACTTCATAAGGCTGTGCTTTGCATACTAATGTGATTTTGTTTAAAAAAGTCGAGAAAAAAATTACCCCTTTAACACATATGTAAATATGTAAAATTCTGCATTACTCAAAGAAACACACATCCCATCTATTCCCCTCGATACCTGTCTTTCAAATAAAAAAATATCATAGGCACGTATGGAATACAGGTACGTTATAAGACCAGATATATCTAAACTTGAGTAAAAAAACATATGGCTTCATTTGTTATCCTGTTTGCGTACAAAGCTTTGTATCAAAGGGCTGGCAAAGCTGACAGTATTGTTCTATCCTTTGTTACGTCGCAGTGTCTGAGCGTGCATGCCAACTGCTGTCAAACATTCCCCCATAGGTCAGCCAACAGTCAGACACAAGGTCCTCCTTCGACAATATTTGTCTCCATATGCCCTCATGGTGTCACTCTGAAGAGTTTCTATCAATATAAATGTCACACTACAGGATGTCAGTGATCACAGATTCATTCTTGTTTTATAAACTCAAAGGAGTATGTTCTACAAACCGTCATATTCCTACACATATGAAGCAAATGATTGTAACACCCCCCCCCCCCGCCACCGGCCGCCACCACAGCCACCAATACACACACACACACACACACACACACACACACACACACACACATACACACACACACACACACACACACACACACACACACCAGCTATTTTTCAAGATTATTTTAAGATCCTCCACCTCTTCACTACCACGCCCTGGAAGTCCTATCAACACTTCATCCACACCCCCTCAGTTCATTAGCAATTTCCTAGAGCTCTTTCCTTAAAGTATCTATCAATAAAAATACAACTTATTATGGATTATGTTCATCCCACCCTAAATTTCCTGTCCTCAGTTTAAATCATTTCCTTGGTTTCCTGCTTATTTTTCATTGTACTATTTTTATAACTGGTGTATCTAGCTGATTCATGGTAATCGGTTTAGGCAATAACATCAACAAAAGCTCTGGCAAACAATCCATTTTGGTATTAATCAATAGGCTAACACTTGTCTGGGAACTATATTAAGAAAATCTTTTGGCCTGTCCAGAAAACTTTATCTCTCCCCCCCCCCCCCTCCTCTCTCTCTCTCTCTCTCTCTCTCTCTCTGTGTGTGTGTGTGTGTGTGTGTGTGTGTGTGTAAAGAGAGTGAGTACGTCAGAGTTCATATGTTGTGCGTGGGAGAGGATGTAGGGTGATGCCGTGCTGAACACAAGGCCTTTTGTGACAATGTATGAAAATCAATTAGTCAGCTATTCACCTGAGGATACTAATATCAATAATTAGTCCCACTGCCCCTTACCATTCACAGATAATCATATTGACTTGGCCCATTGCCTTCAACTGTTACCTCATTACATTATGAAACAATTACCATGACTGATCTCCCACTTTCTCCATCTTAACACTGTTTAAATATTTTAGGACTTATTAGCCAGAAAAAAAGTCAGATCAATTTAATTCCTCCTAAAAAGGCAACTGCAGTCCCATCCGTCCACTTAGCCCCAAAATGTCAGTTACTAAGGGCCCCATGCTTCAAAACTGTCAAGTTGAACTAAAAAAGATTCTCGAGCTGTAATATACACCTTGTTTGATTAGTTTTAAAATGTCAGCGAGAGCTTACAGGGCTTTCCTACCCCGAACCTGTGGAAGGGAGCTACTAAGTCTGCACACACACATGCCTGGCTGTGATTACGGAGCCTCCCTTGTATCAATCACCTTTTTAAGGCTTGACAGGTTAAGGAATGTAGGATTGTTAGAAAACAAGGCTCAGGATGTCGGCAGTCGTGATCCGCCTTTCAGGCCGGTGGTCACTTCTTTCAGATCATCGCTGACCATCAACCGCACCACTATTATGATTATTTGAATTGAGAATCGCTAGACTGGTTTTGGAATGAAATCGCTACATGCCAGGGGTCTGTAAATAAATGATTTCACTGCAACTTTGCCTGCCAGTGGATCATAAACCTCGATATGTGAGGAGACCAAAGCAGCATCTATCATAGCCTTGTCACCTGTCACATTTGTAAAACCTCACTAGAATATCAGACTGCCTTGTCACGGTTACCTTAAGTTAAAGGTGGAAGCCAAAATAACACCTACTTCACTTAAATTTCATACCAGTTCGTGATATTCATCCCCTTTTCCATAATAGTGATTTAATTCAAAAAGATTGGCCCACGCTGGAATTATATACTCAAAGATTATTTAGAATTATTGTATATGCTTTAAAGGGGCAGGGATTACTTCCATCACAATACTTAGGTGCATCATATCCCCATAACTAATGAAGTAGTGTATTATTAATGTTACCCGAGTCCACGAGAAGAGGAGTGGAATACTGTATCAATAACACCAAACAACTGACAACCTATCTGTATCATATCTACAGAAATCGGATCATTTATGAAACAAGACACGATGAGAATTCAGACGAAATAATACTAGATGTAATGGTGCATTACATTAGGTGGCTCTTCACAATAGTTATGATTAGTTGTTTCATATAGAGCTTAAAGGAATTCTTCGCTGAATTGTGGTGAACAACACTCGATATCCTTGTGAATGTGACTCACATCAGCTTGGGTTTAGTAATGGAGTGCAAAGGTATTCTATATCTCAAATTAAGACAAATGGGCAAACCCTAGAATAAGTTTTAAAATTTTCAGTGAATCACCAAATTGTCTAAAAAAAATCAGAACAAAGGGGAAGACAGTCTTATGTGTGAAGCAGACAGCAGACTATTGTCCTTAAGGAACCTATGTACTATCTTCACCCCAATTTTACCTTGCCAACATTTTCAGTTTTGTCTGACTATTAGAGCCATGATCTAACAAAACTGAAATATGATAATGCAAATGAAAATGTGATAAGGTAATTGAATTGCTATGTTTCCATCCTCATGTAAACCCAGACTGGGATATCTATATTTACCTGTCTAAAGTCATGATAACAACTAAACCTAATCCACTTTAGATCTCCCCACAACTACTAGTACTTAGGCTATCACTGTATCACAACAGTTGGTGGAAAAATTGTAAGAGTATGCCAAAATTGGTTTGTTATAGATTCGAGTGATTCATTAACCTTTCTGTACATGTAAACACACTAGGAGAGGCTCTGTGAAGAAAAACAGAAGAAGTATTGNCCCTCTCTCTCTCTCTCTCTCTCTCTCTCTCTCTCTCTCTCTCTCTCTCTTCTGTGTGTGTGTGTGTGTGTGTGTGTGTGTGTGTGTGTGTGTGTGTGTGTGTAAAGAGAGAGAGTACGTCAGAGTTCATATGTTGTGCGTGGGAGAGGATGTAGGGGGATGCCGTGCTGAACACAAGGCCTTTTGTGACAATGTATGAAAATCAATTAGTCAGCTATTCACCTGAGGATACTAATATCAATAATTAGTCCCACTGCCCCTTACCATTCACAGATAATCATATTGACTTGGCCCATTGCCTTCAACTGTTACCTCATTACATTATGAAACAATTACTATGACTGATCTCCCACTTCCTCCGTCTTAACACCATTTGAATATTTTAGAACTTATTAGCCAGAAAAAAGTCAGATCAATTTAATTCCTCCTAAAAAGGCAACTGCAGTCCCATCCCTCCACTTAGCCCCAAACTGTCAGTTACTAAGGGCCCCATGCTTCAAAACTGTCAAGTTGAACTAAAAAAGATTCTCGAGCTGTAATATACACCTTGTTTGATTAGTTTTAAAATGTCAGCAAGAGCTTACAGGGCTTTCCTACCCCAAACCTGTGGAAGGGAGCTACTAAGTCTGCACACACACATGCCTGGCTGTGATTACGGAGCCTCCCTTGTATCAATCACCTTTTTAAGGCTTGACAGGTTAAGGAATGTAGGATTGTTAGAAAACAAGGCTCAGGATGTCGGCAGTCGTGATCCGCCTTTCAGGCCGGTGGTCACTTCTTTCAGATCATCACTGACCATCAACCGCACCACTATTATGATTATTTGAATTGAGAATCGCTAGACTGGTTTTGGAATGAAATCGCTGCATGCCAGGGGTCTGTAAATAAATGATTTCACTGCAACTTTGCCTGCCAGTGGATCATAAACCTCGATATGTGAGGAGACCAAAGCAGCATCTATCATAGCCTTGTCACCTGTCACATTTGTAAAACCTCACTAGAATATCAGACTGCCTTGTCACAGTTACCTTAAGTTAAAGGTGGAAGCCAAAATAACACCTACTTCACTTAAATTTCATACCAGTTCGTGATATTCATCCCCTTTTCCATAAAAGTGATTTAATTCAAAAAGATTGGCCCACGCTGGAATTATATACTCAAAGATTATTTAGAATTATTGTATATGCTTTAAAGGGGCAGGGATTACTTCCATCACAATACTTAGGTGCATCATATCCCCATAACTAATGAAGTAGTGTATTATTAATGTTACCCGAGTCAACGAGAAGAGGAGTGGAATACTGTATCAATAACACCAAACAACTGACAACCTATCTGTATCATATCTACAGAAATCGGATCATTTATGAAACAAGACACGATGAGAATTCAGACGAAATAATACTAGATGTAATGGTGCATTACATTAGGTGGCTCTTCACAATAGTTATGATTAGTTGTTTCATATAGAGCTTAAAGGAATTCTTTGCTGAATTGTGGTGAACAACACTCGATATCCTTGTGAATGTGACTCACATCAGCTTGGGTTTAGTAATGGAGTGCAAAGGTATTCTATATCTCAAATTAAGACAAATGGGCAAACCCTAGAATAAGTTTTAAAATTTTCAGTGAATCACCAAATTGTCTAAAAAAAATCAGACAGTCTTATGTAGTGAAGTAGACAGCAGACTATTGTCCTTAAGGAACCTATGTACTATCTTCACCCCAATTTTACCTTGCCAACATTTTCAGTTTTGTCTGACTATTAGAGCCATGATCTAACAAAACTGAAATATGATAATGCAAATGAAAATGTGATAAGGTAATTGAATTGCTATGTTTCCATCCTCATGTAAACCCAGACTGGGATATCTATATTTGCCTGTCTAAAGTCATGATAACAACTAAACCTAATCCACTTTAGATCTCCCCACAACTACTAGTACTTAGGCTATCACTGTATCACAACAGTTGGTGGAAAAATTGTAAGAGTATGCCAAAATTGGTTTGTTATAGATTCGAGTGATTCATTAACCTTTCTGTACATGTAAACACACTAGGAGAGGCTCTGTGAAGAAAAACAGAAGAAGTATTGGCAATTTTAAACTGACATGACATTAAAAGATTACTAACCACTCTCTCATCACCTGTGTTAGTATTCTGAGGCTGTCTCAAACAAATTACCTGAACTTTACAAGGAATTTCAAAATTATCCCTCATTGCAGCACATGCCAATTTATAAATCAAATAAAAAACATTCCCCCATGCTCCAAATGTCAACCTTCAATTTAAATAACGTTTAAACAGATCTGACAAAAAAAAAAGAAAAAGAAAAAATGTTTAAATCAGCTCTGACAAGAAAAAAGGAAAAGAAAAAAAATTGATTTTGCTTCATAAACGTAAATGATAATTTAACTTACTTCTCCCTTCCACAAATACATTTCCAATATTGAGCAGAATGACAAGCATCCCCAACTGAAGACACCTAGGTAAAGAGTGTGTAAAACTCTTCCATGTATCTTTGGCCATATTACTAAGTTAAAGGTTTTCACTGGATCCCCATCTCTATGTGGTACATATATATGTAAGATATATATGCTGTGGCTGGCCACCTGGAAATCCCAGGACTTGTAACTCCAGGAAGTTTCAGCAGCACCTGACTGCGGCTATCATCTGAGTGTACCGAATGATGCTCAACAGTGAACTTGGGAGCTCTTACGGAATAAAGATGGACAAAGACAAAGTGTTCATAATACTCCCAGCATCAGCTTAATTCATCAGTGAAAATAAAAACTTTTTTTTCTTTTCTTCTTGGCTAGTCCTGTGTAGTCATCCTTCTAGTGCTGATGTCCAGTAGAGATTGCTTCTCCAGCATTAGTTAGTAATTGTTCTCCATTTATATTGATTGGTCTCAATCAATAGTCTGCCCGCATTTCAGGTAATATCCTCTCTGTGCACATTTTACGCGATCATTTTGACATTAATCATGAAAACTTTGCATCCAATCAGCTGTAGTCTGGTGCAGAAAACAAATTTACCCACTCCTGTGGCTGCAATGAGGAAGACTAAAGTGTTAGCCGGGTCTCTCCAAACTGTCAGGAATTCCCGGGGTATTCCTCTTTATGATGTGCTCTAAGCTCTCACCTTAAACTAGTCTCTTGACCTTTGGAAAAGTTCATCAGTAGCACATCTTCTCTCAAACTCCTTACTCCACTATATCTATATACCCTGGATCACTGCTAGTGCTAAGTACTTACTCCACAGTGAGTGAGAGTGTGTACATATACATATATATATATATATACACACACACACACACTAGTACTCTGTCTGTATCCTGTAGACCTATGTATCTAGTAATCTAATAAAACTACTCTACTCCAAGTGTGTAGACTAAGGCGGCTGAGCTAGGACTGAGAGAGACCACAGTGTTACTGTAGCATACACACAGCCTGGCCAGCTATTCATGCAAATCACTTTGATGTTGTCACCACATTAGTCATTACAGAATGTGTTATCTGATGCAGGTAGTATATACCCAGGGCTGTGGAGGAGGGGGGCACCAAGCTGCCTGTAGAGTTCTCCTTGTGTTTAGAGACAGTCTGCTCCCGCCTTAACCCTCCTCATCTCTGGGTAGTAGCATCATTACTGGTCAGCAGTTGTCTCAACTATTGAGATATGCGCTGGGATTAGTTAAATTTCACCAGAATAGAAAGTTCCTCATTACTGGTACATTCCAGTGCAGTCTGAAGCTGGCATGAACACAGGTGTGGAGCGGCTCGGGCTGGGAGAACCCTGCGGAGAGGTTAGGCAGGGACACCTGCCAACTGGCCTTTACTAATGTCAACCCAAGACTTCCAATCTTCTCTTATAACCCTGCTCTCTAAACTCTGTGCTCAGGCAATCCACCTGCATTCGTGAAAAACAACAAACAGATAAACAAATGGGCCATGGGGCCCTGACCAAGTACAATACCTGGCCATTAGTGAAGCTAATGGCTTTGATAATGTGCAGTACTTGGTATACTCAGCTGCAGTAGCTAACATGGGACCTACTATGTCTTCCAGGCCGTGATGTTCATTGCCTTATATCACTCTTGGGATTTACTATGCTCAACTGTCAGTATCTAGGATGCTGAAAAACACTTCAGATAAAATAAAAAACTTTTTTTTGTACGAATTCTTCTCATCCGATAATAATAACAACACCTGCACTGGTTGTTGCTGCATGCACCTGGACTCCTGCCTGGATGTAGATCTACTCCTTCATGAATGTGTTTCTTAACTCATAATAAGGTAATAGGTCATTATTCCAGACTCGATATCATCTTTGTTTGACAGGAGTGTGACGTATGTTGTTCTTTTCAGGGTGCTGTAGATGTAGATGTGCCAGATACTAGTGGAAAACAAGTCTACATTCTTGTGAACACTCCGGCTGGTTACCAGGCACTGGGGCCAGCAATGCTGTGTACCCTGACATCAAAAAGAAAATCTAGAGGAATTTTCCACTCAACCGCTCCACTTTTCACCTGCTCGGGTTGATAGCAATTTAATTGCCATCTACTTTAGGAGAAAAAGAAAACTGAGGTAAACAGCCCGTCAACTTTTTCACTCCACACTTTTGAAAGCGTAGCTCTTCTAATCTTCATTCAAATACAAGTATTAGCTTCCTGGATGAGTCCTCGCTTCCAAATCAATCCTAATCCTGATTGATATGTCGCTCTTGACAGAGTCCCCCTGTTCTCAGTGATATTAAGTGACTGTAATGGGTATAGTTTCCAGCGTGCACACACCTGTGTTCTGTAAGGACAGGTAACTTATACTCCTCATTACCTTTCGGATCTAGACCTGACCTCTCCGTTAATTTTACATCCACAATGTTTTTATTTCCAAATTTGTCAACACAAGTCCCCAGCACCTGTACATGTGACACTTAACGGCGAGCACTCTCTTGACAGACTGCCTCTCTGCACACACCTCAATAGAGAGCTCGGCCCAAGGGAATAAAACCATACACCATTGGAGTGTCAATCACGAAAAATAAACCTAGAAGATGTGGGGGCAGTGAAAAGATGCTATTTTTCTAACTTGCTGAACCCAGATGACAGCTGCTTTATGCCTGCCCATTTGAGATGAAAAATTGATAGATAGCCTTTCTCGTGATGTTCAGTGCTATACTAGGATAACCTGACTAGAATACTAATACTACAATGAGGGGGCCTCCATACAAATTTCATATTTTCTTCCCTGACAAAGACTTAAGTTCCAGACATATTTGAGCGGTGGGTAAATAATCATCCCCTTGTTACAGAACAGAGCATCGGAGCCAAGGTGACGCACTCTTAACAGCAAAATTGGAAATATAATTTTTCTCCATTGTCACTCTCTACAAAAGGTATGAGTAGTAACTATCCAAGTTATCTTTAAAAATATGAAAGGCAATTCCACACATACAGCTTATGAAATTAATAACCTACAATATCCAAGGAAATTTGACAAAAATTACAAATGATGACTTGCGCCAACAGTACCCTTTTCAGTTTGCCTATTTTACATCCATCCATAAAATTTACCAAATATTACGCTTGGTCACAATGATCAAAGATACCACTTTCACAAATGCCCTGTCAAGAGCCGTCAACACCAATTGTTGTTATGCTCGATTCAATTAGCAACTTTTTTATCACTACAAAAGCAAAAAGCATTTCTATTTTCAGTGTCTCCCTGGCTCACAAGAACTGTAATCACTTAAATTCATGAAAAATGAGAAGCTGCCATCCTATTTGAAAGTGTTGCAAGCGCTACGTGTCCTGTCACAATGACAAGTAATTCATTTTAGACAGTCATATTACTGTTAAATGAGGAGGACAGAGACGAGATGGGGCACTCTGAAAACTTTCTGTCTAAACTAATAAACGTCATCCATGGATCTTCATTAATATTGCCAAGTAAACAATATGACAAACAGAGTGAATACAGAGCAAGGCAATTTTTTCTCATTTTTCCAGGGAAATACCAATCACTAGCTATAGAAAAGTGATCCAGAAGTTTGCAAGTTTTCTGGTTTTACTATTTAGAACTATATGAAATAAGGAGCTCTATAGAGAGAACGATTTTCCTGAGTATGAGTGTGGTAGTTGAGACGTCATCTACTATACACAGCATCCCATTTGTGTGACAAGCTGACTGATTTTAAAGTGAAATAAAGCCATTCTGATAAATATTTCTATTTGACAAGTTCAACAAATATCAAACAATCTATCTGAACCCTTTTCTCAAATATCAAGTCTTCCTGTAAATGTCATAAACAGGAAGTGAGAATGACATCTGCCAAATAATTTTACTCAGAATACCATCAAATAATTCTGAATTACAAAAGAGATAAAATTATTATTCTTTGGCCCCTTCCCAGCTCACAGCAGTATAATGGCAACAGATAAGTGTTCACCCACACTATGACAATGTGATTTTCCTGGTAACGATAGATCAGAAATATATAAGTCTAGTTTTGCCTTGTTCTTGTCAAAATATCTGCTGAGCACCATTATTCCTGGAAATGAGTTCCATGTTCCAGCTTGTTGACACTTTATCCTCATATCAATGGATTCCACCACACAGCCAGTAATGAATGTAGCCCCACCTCCCACCACATATTAAATTCTGCAAACCTTCATGATCGATAACAATAATCACCCTAATGCCTCACAAACTTTTATGGTTTCAGAGCAAGTTAGATGTCAGGCTGTTGTAATCTTCCTTTTTCAACCTTCATTTCAGACTAAGAGGAACCTACACATTAGTGTGGGCAGGACCGTTATCTGTTTTAACCAGCACACAGGCCTCAAATCAATTGGTTACATAAATCTTGACTGATTCTAGATCAATTTTGGTTTGGCAATGGTGGTATTTTGCTGAGGTTGACAACAGTACTATCGGAATGAGAAACAGTAAATCACTCTGCTGCAATTAACCTCCTTATCTGAGATACCAGTTGCAGATAATTAAAAAAAAATTTTCTACTGATTGACAAAAAATAAATGAATTGCTTATAAAATACAACAGACTCTGACTTCTGCAATTATCCAAATTTTAACCTGGTGTTGTATGGTATGTATTTTAACCTGGTGTCGGACAGTTTTCAAATCAGAATATTTTAGTAGAGAAATTGTATAATTTACCTCTGACAAGATAAAGAATAAAACTCAAAACCAGTTATTTTTATCCAACCACTACTGTAAATATCTGGATTTCAGCCTTGTCAGAGGCAGTTTTTACAAGATATTTTGTTAACCTAAAGCACAGGAACCTAGCAGCTCGTATCAACAAGTGCCAGTACTGTTTATTTTAGAAACTTCACTAAACTTACAGCACATGCAACCATTTCAAGAAAGGAGGACTTGCATTTTTTTCAATCAAATCATTAATAGAGACAAAATGTCTGACTAACAGCAAACAGTGAGACTTAAGTAAAAGCAGCTCAATGCCAAAGGCACAAAGGAAGTACCCAGCATGTGAGCTTATTGGAAGCCATGTTCTCCATTCTTCGGTCTCTGATTCATAGGTCATTTGTTCTTAGCACCATCAAATTTGTTCTTACAAGCTTGTACTGAATGAGAAGTGAGAATTTCAAATAACAAAATCCCTAGGAACTAAAAAAAACAGTTACGACAACTCAGCCAATAGCTCGAACGATACCATTTTATCACGATTTAATCAGCTGTTTTCAAGAACATCTTTGTCAAAGAAGCTTGTGGGAGTATCATCCCACGCAAATCATTAACTAACAGAGCTACTCATTTCACTCTTGTAGCATTAACACTTGTTAAGGTAGGGTTTTGGGTCCTCTTTCACTCAACACTGATCAAATCTCCCACACAGTACTACTGGCTCCAATACAACGATAATGACAATAACATCTCAAAATGACTGACAGCCAATACCTTTTATTTCTAGAGCTTTTAGTGCAAAATGCAAAGCATCAAGTGGTATCCTGTGAAAGCAGGAACAGAGGTTCTCATTTCACAGCTGAAATTTAGAGACAATTAAAGTGTCATATTACATGTTACGAATCTGTAAAAATCACTAATCTGGAGGATTTTTTTTTTTTTTCACAAATAGAAACTAAAAATTCTGTATACCACAATTCCCTTTGAACACATCCAAAATATTAATGCAGAAGATATTTGAAAAGAAACAGTAATAAAAATAGGGGCTGCATCTGGTCTATATCCTATCTAGTCTGCATCTATATCTTAATGTTTGCTACAGGGAAATTTAAGCAGTGGCAGTGAGCCCAGCAGACTATATTCCGCAGTAGTGATACTCATGGTCAAAATTTCCAGGTAATCACAGAGCACACATTAAGAGACTGATAACAGTTTATCATACAGAATCACCTGGAGGATGACGTCAATACAACCTCTTCTACCTACTGATTATAACATTAGTCGGGCAGCTACCCTAGACAACACATGCCACACATACACACACAAATCTTGAAAACTTATTTTTCTGCAAGCTTCTTGCTCTGCAAGGCTAGCGGAATTTCTTTACATGTGTTCTGTGAATTAAGACACAGCTTACCAGTATTTAGATTTAGGTCCATGACATGTGTTGTTGTTAACAAAAAGATGGATGCCACTGTAAAATCTACACTTTTTGTATGCCGTAAGTCATTACACCACTCCTACATCTATCATTTGGACACTTTAAATCATTTTTGCCGCAAAAAACTGCCACCAGGGAAATCACTTACTGATGCTGTATGATCAAATCACCAAGCATTGTAATGTTTGTCTGGGGATTAAGTGGATCTCGTAAGTTAATGAATAACTGTGCATGCGACAAAATGTTTCACAAGATGGCAGCAAAATACCAAATGAGCAGATTTAGCAGTTGTAAAAGTGCACCATAACAATTAACCAGCATTAGTGCCTCAAAGGAGCAAATAACGTGAGTCTTTCAGTCCATTCCAGTCAGCATGATCAGCACCTTTTCACTCCATAATTAGTTGTACATGTGTAAAATCAACTTCACTGCTGAGAAAACACGCACACTTGTGACTTTTTCCACCTAAATTGGCCCTCATTCTGTGGAATTATCCACATAGCAGGTACCTCCTGGGTCTGCTAAACAATATTCACACTGTTATTCCCAGGCTGCTGAGAATTTAAGTCCAGTCCAACTATATACCTGAAACAATCAGAGTTAATTCAAACACTACTTGATTTTCATAAACCTTTCGTCTGTTGTAGCTTGTTGTCCTCAGCTTGGCAGAATTACTATAATTAATCATGTAATGCAGAATGTCCCATGATAACAACCAGAATCGTGGGCTTACAAAAAAACTTCGGCACCACTATTTCTCTTATCTTGAGACCCCAGGGAAATCTAAATGGTTTGTAAAGGGAGCAACATCAGTTTATTAGAGACAATATTGTGCAACTGTCTAGCTAACATCTATGCATGTCACAACACGTATTCTCAAAAGTTTGTTATATTGTTTATAAGATCTATCACATGAAACAACCTGTTTACCAAGATGATCTGCCTTTGATTGTGGTAGTTGAGACATATAGCACTATATACAACGTATCTCACCTGCTCATCACAAGCTGCATCCCCACGGTGACTATTTTAGACACAAAATAAGCATAGTATATATATAGAGAGGTGGTTCTGGTTAATTCTAGGTCTTAAGGTAACAAGATTTAGAATTAAATGTATGTTATGATCTGACATCCATACATCAAACAAAACCATGTAAAATATTTTCCCCACTCAGTCTGTGCCAAACACTTTATAACTTACAGATCTTCCGGGCACCAGGGTCTGAGAATCTCTTTTTTTTTTGTCCGAACCAAAATTTAAAAAAAATCTTAAATTAACACACTGAGACTTAACAGGCTTCCAGTTACAAATATTTATACGGGATTTTCAGGTTATTAAAAAAGACTTTAACATTTAGCCTGAACATTTTATAAAACGAATTGGAGTACATGTTACAGCTGAAAAAAA